TTGAGTTCGTTTTTCTAGGGGATTGTAGTGTTACTTCAACAAGAAGTCAATCGTTATATCTTGGGAGACGTTTGCCAAGCAAAACCTAAGAGCACCTGTGAAGAGGCAATTTCGTCTTAAGGAGATAGAACCAAGTTCTAGACTCGATAATCTGTAAAGTATTCTTAATTTTCCTTATCGTTATTTTCTTGTATTTATTTCGAATTTATAGTGAAGTTTTATTTTCGAAATTCTGTAAATATAGCAATTATCTTTATATTTTTACCACAATAGTGTCTGCAAGTTATGGCTATGTAGGAGGAAGTCACGCTTCACGGCACGTTGTAGCAACACTTTCTTTCAGACTGCATTTGCTACAACATCCAGTGTGCAAACACAATAAACAAATAAGCTTTGGGGATACAATGAAGCCCAATAATACACTGGTTTTACTGCGCATTGCACAGCCGAAGAGTCACCAAACACACAATGAGATTAACAAGGACGTTCAAGATTAACTACGAACTAATACTGCAGAAATTACTTTCTAGTGCTTTTGTTTCTAAGAAATTGATAAGAGAGAAATGTTCATAACAAGTATCTCTTTTGATTTTGGTTACAGGTTTTTTTTGAATGCTGCTAAACAAACTCTAAAATTAACTAAGTACACCCTGTTTAACTATCAAAAATACACTTGTTACACCCTAATATACTCTATCACACAACACCAAACCCATTCAAGAACTGACTACCGAACGCTATGAGACCACCAAACCCACCTTACTACCAAACACTCCATCAGACCACCATATCTATCTTCACAATAGGGTGGAAAAAATCCAAGCATCACATGAAATGTCTTCCTAGTTTATGAATGTAAAAAGTAACATAGATGAATGATACAATTGATTTTGGGAAAACATGTGCCCTCAACTAACCTAAGATTCTAAGCAGCAGTGAGTCAAAAACACAAATCCTGTGTTTTTCAATTTATCGATGCCGAACGCGAATTTACCAAAAATATAAAACAGAAAATGAAAACGGTGCTGGGCCCTTACCATAATTGTATCTTGTAGTTTTTGTAATTAAGTTACGTGCCTATGACAACGAATGCCATATATGCGTATGGGTAAATGTGTATCATAATACTAATGGAAAGAATCATAGTGCAAATGGAAAGAAAGGCTGACGAGTTCCCTTGGAATTGTGTTTTGGTTATGTATTATTATTTTTTTAATAAAAAAAAAAAAAAAAAAAAAAAAAATAATTAGAGTTTAGAGTTAAGTTGGGCTCAAATGGTGTTAAGTGCGTTGCGTCTCAAAACGTAAAATAAGGGACAAAGTATGTTCGTTCGGTCTATTTTTTTATTTTTTTTTTTTTGGGTTGGGGAAAGACAAGGCCTAGACTCCGCCCATTGAGCCGAGCCTATGCAGACTTTTTGGGTCGAGTCGGGCCAGGTCATTGATGGGCCTAGATGGGTCGGGCATTTTATTTTATTTTTTTAATACTTTTTTCTAAGTTTTTTTTAAATAAATAAAAAATCTTTTTGTTACAATTTTTTAGACAACAAGGGACTTCAATAATTTAAAACAAAAAAAGGAAACAGGGGATTGTATTAATTTTAAAAAATGCGGGCTCGATTGAGCCAGACTTAGACACCTAAACCGAGTCGGGCTGAGAGCGACCCGGAGATTTCAAAACTCAAACCAAGTTTTATCCTACCTTAAAACAAGACGGGCTGAGCGAACCTAACTATTGAACTGAGTCGAGTTTTGATCCATCAAATCTCGAGCTACTCACTTCAACTCGTGGGCCAAATGATGACCCCTATGACAAAGGGCGTAGAGAGAAAAAGGAGCCATAGGTCGTTTGTATTACTATTTGTTAAAGTGGATAAGGTTTTCATAACGTGTCTGTTGTTTCTTTAATGGGTCCACAATCAACATGTCCATTTTATTTTACGTTCACCTAATTTTCCTTCTGTTCATATGAATGTCCATTATCATCATAAGGGTTCTTGTTTTTCTTTTCCTTTGTAATTATATGTCGCCGTGAATTTGAAAAAAGTATCAGATCCATATTGATTAAAAAATATTAATATTTACATAATGTTTCAAATCATGTATTATGAGATAAATGTGATAGATTGCATTCATAATTTAGATCTAAAGGCCATCAGCCACAAGGCCTAACACAAATACAAATAACCACATAGGGTTAATACAAATACGTAAGCACAATAACCTCAAAGAGTTATCTAACATGAGAATACTTTATAATAAAAAATTACTGCCATAAACCAATAAAGATAATGAACACAATTATTTTTTATAAAGTCATGCACAGCCTACTGGTATCCTATGGTAAAGTTTTTTGATGTCATGGGTAATGCTCCTTAGTGCCATTTTATGAAGAATTGTTTGTTATTTTGAAAAAAATAAGTAAAAAGAAAATCACACAAAGTGGGAATCGAACCAAAACCCCTGAATGTATAGAGGGCGACAAAACCAACGAAATGTTAGGCACACAATTGTGTAATTATGTTGCGCGCTTACACACACACACATATATATATATATATATAAATAATATATACAAGTAAAAAAATGGGAGTTTCACTAAAACACCCAAAATGGGGGCTGAAATTATAAAAAAATCCAACACCCAAAACATTTTATAAACACACACAAAACCAATCATTACACACACTCAAAATCCATTGATAAACACACCCAAAAAATTTACAATTGTTGATTTTGGGGTTGATTTTGGGTGTGTTTCTATGTTTAAATAGTGTTTGGGTTTTTTTATAAATACATGTCTAGGATTGAGTTTATTTATAAATTTGTATAAAAAAATACAGGGATCTTGTGCGGTGGCACCATTTGCCCAACCTAAGGGCCGCCCTTGCTCTTACCGAGCCTTCATTAGGTTCTATATCATAAGCACATAGAAAGGGGTTGCGTTTACGTTAATTACGTATGAGTCATTTCATTATTTCAAGGACTCCAAGTTATTTTACCTTATTAGAGAGGTGGTCAACAATATGATCAATAAATATGGTACAAATAGCGTTATTGTTAAATTCATATTGAGGTGGCTGGAATATAAACTTGGTATCTCTTTCAAAGAAGATAAATGCAACTAAACTAAGAGCTAGAAGTGAGCTTAAGTTACCGCCTAACATTCACAGTTTTTTACTACACAACACGAAAAGTAAAGTGCGTAGAAATACTAAACAAGCCATGTAAAGTGCGTAGAAATTGGACAAAACTAAAAAACAACAATAAAAGTAAAGCAAATCCAAGTATAAGTAAAATTTGCGCAAGAATATTGAAAATAAGTCGGATATGTACCTGACCAAAGAAAGCACAAAAGAAACTGTGAGCTTTTAGAACAAATCTTTCTTTACCAAGGCAAATGATATGTATATGCTGAAATGAAGCTTGTTATTTATAATTGATATTGATGGGATGGGAATAAGACTGGAACAAGAAATATTGTCAACAACCTTTCTGATCCATTACACATTTGATCCACACCCAAAGTAAATTACTCACGCTATTGTAAATAAACTGTTACTTATGGTAATGTATGACAAATTGAATTTGATGAATTCTTTATGATGAAAAATAAAACTAGGAGATAACCTCTCAGGTTAAACACTTGAATACAAAATATATCAATTGGTTAATTTACTTTAGAATTGCAGTAAAAAAACTTTAGAATCATGACTTCCATATAAATAAATAAATAAATAAAAAAGGAAGCTGATTTTTCTCATTTCTTTTTTGTTCACTTACGTACCCTCCCTTTTGTTTTTTAGGTTGACTTGGGCCGGGTTGAGGTTTCAAAAGACTCGGCCCAGACCACCCATTGAGCCGAGCCTATATGGACTTTTCGGGTCAGGTCGGGCCAGGCCAATGATGGGCTTAGATGGGCCGGGCCTTTTATTTAATTTTTTAATACTTTTTCTAAGTTTTTTTAATGTTTTTTTGTTACAAATTTTTATACAACAGGGGACTACATTAATTTTTATTTTTATTTTTTTGTTAAAAGGAAATATGGGACTGCATTAATTTAAAAAAAGCGGGCTCAAATAGGCCGAGCTTAAACAAGCTCAACCAGGTTGGGCCGAGAGTAGGCCGAAGTAATTCTATTCAACTTTAGAACGAGCCGAGCCAAGCAAACCTAACTATTGAACTTGGCCAAGCTTTGATCCATCCAACCTCAAACTACCCACTTCGACTCGCAGGCCGCAAGCCAAATGATGACCCCTAGCACAAAGGTTGTAGAGGGAAAAAGCAGCCATAGGTCGTTTGTATAACTATTTGGTAAAGTAGATAAGGCTTTCATAACGTGTCTGTTGTTTCTTTAATGGGTCCAAAATCAACATAACCATTTTATTTTACGTTCACCTAATTTTCCTTCTATTCAGATGAATGTCCATTATCATCATTAGGGTTCTTGTTTTTCTTTTCCTTTGTAATTATATGTCACCGTGAATTTGAAAAAAGTATCAGATCCATATTGATTTAAAAAAATTAATATTTACATAGTGTTTCAAATCATGTATTATAAGATAAATGTGATAGATTGCATTCATAATTCAAGTCTAAAGGCCATTAGTCACAAAGGCCAATACAAATACAAATAACCACATTGGGTTAATAAAAATACATAAGCGTAATAACCTCAAAGAGTTATCTAAATATGGAGGATTCCACCAGCAACTGTAAGTTCACTAGGTGTACCTCTACTCATAACCACAAAGTACCCCCAAAAAATCAGGCAAAAAAGTCACAAGCCTGAAAAAACCTGACAAAGACCTCAACGCCAAAAACTACAACTACAACTGTTAAACTCTTACAAGTAGAACATGCAAGTAGAAACTACAAATATGCAACACACTCAAAAAGAGTTCATAGCCAGAAGCCTGGACTAACCCAACTTTATTTATTTATTTATTTTTAAAGGCATATTATACCAACATACTGAAGGATGAAAACAAAATGTTAACATCATCCCTCGCAAACTTCTCTTTCTTGCAGTATCTTAAGGCCAACATACCTACAATAGCACAAAAAATTAGAGGGATAAAATTAGCAACATGTCACATAGTTTTATAACAAACCCATGCAACCAAATAATTATCAAGAATTTCTTGTATATTTAAGTGTGCATAACTTACCTGCCTAACATCATTAAAGTGGCCTGAGGATTGGTTCCTGGTGAGAAATTGAATGTGGATCCATCAACAACACGTAATGCATTGATCCCCATGACCCGCAAACGTCCATCAACCACCTTCCCCACCAAGCATCCGCCATGGTAATGCCAAAATGTTGCTACGGTGCTTCGACAAAATGTTTCAAATGATGCATTATCTGTCTGATTTACTGGTAAAGATGGTCCATAAAACTTGAAACCTTCTGTACCAGACGAAGAATTAGTCTTGAATGGTTCTAATGAATCTGTCTTCAATAAATCACGAAGCTTCCTCATGCCACTAACACAACGAGCAAGGTCCATCGGATGTGTAAAATAGTTGAAGCTGACATTTGGACCAATTTTCACGTCAAAAGATGATTGCAGGCGAAGGGAACCATAAGACAAAGGTCCGGGTACTTTTGCAGCAATGTTTGCCAAAATCAAGTATTTGGGGTTAGCTGGCACGTTATAAGAAAGTGCCTCTATGTAGAAATCACTTGTAATTCCAACTATCTGTAGACTTGACAGATCCAGTGGAGATGGGGGCAAAATGTTAATGAAATTCCGAGGATTATCATACATAAACTGTCCAATATTCGGTTGAGGATGGATAACTGAGATCTTCAACGATGAAAGATAGGACACTGGACCAACACCACTAAGTAGCAGAAGTTGAGGGCTTCCGATTGCTCCAGCACTCAATATAACCTCTCCCTTATTATGTACATATGCCCAATGAGTCTTCCCGTTAGAATCACTATATATGATTCCTATAGCTGACAAACCTGCGTTAGATAGTAGCTCATAATTCGTGCGTTGTTATCCAAACTCCCAAAAAGACATCATGCACTAGTTTTATACAAATTCAAAGAATGAGTGAGTGATCCATGAGGACGTATTGCATGATGACTTTTCTGGAGTGTGAACAACAGTTCCCTATAGTTAACATCAAACGCTGTGAATGGAACATATATATTATTGCTAACCCTACAAGTGCATCATATATACTTATTGAATTGGAAGAGAAGATGATCCTCTCTACTGTGGCATGAACTGCAACTCGCAAGTTCTTTGGCTCTCCTCTATTAAGCAGTTCCACAGCTCCATGTCTCCTTCCATGATCATCGAAAATTGATCCCCCAACTTTAGTTCCCTTGATGTGATCCAAACTAAATCCATTGTCTGGACCCACGCCAGCCTCCAACAATGCTTCTTTTACAACAGATTGCCAAGTTTCCAATTTCGGCTGGAACACAATAGTGTCTTCCACCCAACTATAGGCCTTATCAACCAAAGCCATGTCCCATTCAATTCCTGATTGCGCATAGAATTCCTTTTCAGCTCTCGAGTAGAAACCGGCATTGATCATGCTTGACCCACCTAAGACTCTGCCTCTTGCATTAGAAACACCATCGTCGGACGTGAACTTTTGAGCTGGTGTCTTACCATCATCTTCTTGCATGAGATTAGTCACAAACCCTTCTTCACGCAAAACACTTGGATATTCGATCGGAACGCTGCCCCTTTCGACAACAAGGACTGAGTAGTTTGCTGATAATGTTGCTGCCAATGGGCAGCCTGATGTTCCTCCTCCTACGATAATGTAGTCATATTCCTCTTCCAACGGTAGATCCGTGGCATTGGACACAAATTCCATGTAGCTAAAATTTGCAAAGTTCGAATAGATGAAGAAAACCTAAATTATATCCAACAACAAGATCAACAGAAGCATCTATCCATCTGCTTCTACGTTGTTTCTTATATATATATTTTTTCACGTCCTTAATTATATCCAACAACCAGTGACCTTTAATAATAAAGATGAAGGATAAACTAATTTACCATTATCAGACGGAGTAGCCAAGGAATGAACCGCTGATTGAGACTGAAAGATAGAGAGATGTAGAAGCAGTATAGCAGCAATTGTTGATTTCTCCATGTTCTGAAGGCCAAATGAAGTAACTTTTTCCCCTGAAAAACTAAGAGAGTTTCATGGCTTTTTGTAGGTGAAAGTTTCTACTTAAGCTGTTATCAGTGTTATAATATGGTACTTGTCTTCATTATTGTGTCGTTTGAGTGGCTTTTTTTTTCGTTTGTAGTACAAGCAATAGTATAAACAACAAAGGGGTTATGGGAGTTCAAAACCATCACTTCTAGAATTTTAAGCACTTAAGCCGCGTTTGAGCATTGCTCGAAGGGCTCGACAGGTTCACAAAGGGGATTCAAGCCTAGCTCGAGAGGGCTTGAGCACTGCTTAAGGAGAGCTCGATTGGCTATATTCCTATATATATATATATATATATATCTCTTGAAATGCATGTTGTTACTTTTGCTTAATTTGGTAAGATGTATAATTTATCTGAGTCCATTTCAAAGGAAAAAAAAATAAAATTAAGGCACTTTGGGTCCATCTTTACAACCTGCAGTGAATTCAATGGTGAACTCAGGATTATTATTTTTTTAATAAAGCTGGACTTGGATTTTCTTTAAGAAATTCTTTATCAATCATCTTCACATAATTACAAATTTCTGTGGAATAAATGTTGTTACAAAGAAAGAGCATTGACTAACTTTTTTTTATTTGGCTATTGCATGAAGTAACCTTATAGAGTGAGCTCCTTTCCCGAAAAAAAAACACCCCTTATAAAGTAAGCAACTAACTAAAAATATATGTTTTGTTTTATTCAGTTAATTTCCTTTAATATACGGGTCACAAACGGAGAACAAGAAAGCAGTCGCAGGTAATGACACTTTCCTTAATTAGAATATTACCAAGGAAAATAAAAAGTAAAACATTGCTGAGTGAGGTAATGGACCCGTACTCAGGGTCGGCCTTAAAAATTTGAGAGTCCTGTGCGAAATTTAAATTGGAACCTCACATCATCTAACATAAAAATACTATATATAAAACTGCCATAAACCAATAAAAATAATGAACACAATTATTTTTTATAAAGTCACGCACAGCCTAATGGTATTGTATGGTAAAGTTATTTGATTGGTCATGGGATAATGCACAGCCTAATGGTATTGTATGGTAAAGTTATTTGATTGGTCATGGGTAATGCTCCTTAGTGCCATTTCATGAAGAAATGTTTGTTATTTTGAAAAAATAAGTAAAAAGAAAATCACACAATTGGGACACAATCGTGTACTTATGTTGTGCGCTTACATGTATATACATAATTACATGCTCATATATATATATATATATATATTCCCCTTTTATTGAGGGATTCTTCAAATAATTCTATTTGATGGATGCCCTTTAGGGTACCCTTCCAAAGATCAAAATCATCTATTTTTTAGGTCTCCATTCATAGATATCATCCTTACAAAAAAGAAAAAATTAGATAAATCGGAAACTGTTTCGACATCTCATTGTGTCATACAAAATTAATAAACATGGTGCTTCAAGAAAGTACTAAAATTTTAATAACTCAATTGAGTGGTCAAATGATATCAGATTCAAGTGATTTTTCGTAAAAAAATTCTTTGAATGAGTATCTACAAAATATACAGTTTGGATTAGTGAAATACAATCCAGTGTGGGCCCTACAAGGGCGTCCCTCAAATTAGCTTATTTGAGAGATCCCTCAGTGGAAACTGTGTGTGTGTGTATATATATATACACACACACACACACACGTAAAAGAAATATGGGGCCCTTGTGCAGTGGCACCACTTGCTCATCCTGAGGGCCGCCTTTGCTCCTACCGGGCCTTCATTGGGTTCTATATCATAAGCACATAGAAAGGGGTTGCGTTTACCTTAATTGCTTATGAGTCATTTCATTATTTCAAGGACTCCAAGTTGTTTTACCTTATTAGAGAGGTGTACAATAATATGATCAGTAAATATGGTACAAATAGCATTATTGTTTAATTAATAGGGAGGTGGCTGGAATATAAATTTAGTATCTCTTTTAAAAGAAGAAAAATGCCACTAAACTAAGAGCTAGAAGTAAGCTTTAGTTACCAGCTAACATTCAGAGTTTTTTATTAGACAACACAAGGAGTACTAAACAAAGCTATGTAAAGTACGTAGAAATTGGACAAAACTAAAACAACAATAAAAGTAAAGAAAATCCAAGTATAAGTAAAATTTGCGCAAGAATATTGAAAATAAGTCGGATATGTACCTGACCGAAGAAAGCACAAAAGAAACTGTGAGCTTTTAGAACAAATCTTTCATTGCAAGGGCAAATGATATGTATATGCTGAAATGAAGCTTTTTATTTATAAGCCCTCATTTGCCTTTGGTGGCCGGGAGTCTTGTTTCTTTAATAAATAATATATCGAAACTTCCTGGCCCATCTAAATTATAGCTCACATATCAAACTTGCTGAATAATTGATGATGGGAGTAAGACTGGAACAAGAAATATTGTCAACCTTTCTGTTCCCCATTACACATTTGATCCACCAAAAGCAAATTGCCCACGCTATTTTAAATCAACTGTTGCTTGTGGTAATATATGATGAAAAATAAAATTAGGAGATAACCTCTCATGTTAAAAATTGCATACAAAATATATCAATTGGTTAATTACTTTAAAATTTCAAAACAAGAACATGATGATGAGCTTGTTTGAGTTTTATCTTTTAAGTTGTGACATGAAAATAGCCATGGTTAGGAAATATATATCTTTTAAGTTGTGACATAAGGCCTTTGGTCAACATCCCCCGGATGTGTTCCATTCAGGGATGGACCTTTAGTTTGGCAAACTTGGGCTATAGCCCAGGTGGCTTCTTTTTTCCGGCCAAAAAAAAATATCCTAGCTCACCCAATTTAAATAACCTAACCTTATCTAGTTCTCCTAGTCAATAAAAAAGAAGAGGAGAGAAGAGGGAGGGCGGTTGGGCTATAGCCCAGGTGGCTTCTTTTTTCTAGCCAAAAAAAGAAACTACGCGCATCTTGGGACCCCATCTTGGGAGAAATTTTGACTTGACTGAAATTTTAGTTAAATGTGGAAAATATTTGCTTGGTTTGTCTATATCTCAAATTGCAGTAAAAATCTTTAGAATCATGACTTCTGTATAAAAATAAAAACTAGAAAAAGGGAGCTGATTTTCCCATTTTATTTTTGTTCACTTACCCACTCTTTTATTTTTAAATACTTTTTAATCAATTTTGTTCCTTTTTGCTCTTTCTCTTTCATATTCTACCCTTATCTTGAATTAAGATTTTGGTAACTGAAATTAAGAAAAGAGTTCCAGTCATACAAAATGTTCATAAAGAAAAACGTGTTCACAAAAAATGAACATAAAAAATTCCAATTCTATGAGGGGAAATTTTATGTTGTTGGAATTTGTATTTTTGTTTTTTTTTTTTGTCGAAATGTTTATAAAACAAGTTAAGATAAAATTTAACAAATTTAACTCAAGAAAGTTAGCAAAAAATTAAATTATTATAGTTTCTAAATGTGGGTCTCTAAAAGTGGTTGTATATCTTTGGCATAGGCTCGGAGTTGGTGAACGCTTTGGACTGAACTCTTGCAGTTCTGTTTCATTACTCTCCATCGGGTTTGATTTTATGGCCTGCTCTTGTGAAATGAGAAAATTATTATTAGATAACGATATTCTATTTTTATTTAATTTAAATTTATGGCCTTTTATCATTTTTTCTTCTTCCATTGAATTACGAAAACTGCAGCTTTATAATTTTGGTCAAACTTTATCTGTAGCTTGCATGTGTATTCCAGTAATTAATTCGATAACGCAAATGATACAAGTAAATATAACTATATATAATGGTGAAATTATTGTATGGTACAAATCATCACCTTGTTCAGTAAGAAAACACTACACAAGCTTATCTTTCTTTCAGTAAGAAAACACCACACAAGCTTAACTATATACAATGGTGAAATTATTGTATGGTTTTATTAATCTTCCACCTTATTCAGTAAGAAAACACTGCACAATTGGTTTTATTAATCTTCCACCTTATTCAGTAGGAAACACTACACAATTGGTTTTATTAATCTTCCACCTTATTCAGTAGGGCATGGTGAATAACACGCCTTGCAAGCTTATCTTTCTTTCAGCATCTTAACGCCAATATACCTGCCCAAACCACAAAAATTGAAGGGAAAAAGAATAGCAGCTTATCAGATTTCATCACGAAAAATAGTTGATCATTCCATCCAAATAAATGCTTAAATAAATTATTAAGTATGGATAACATACCTTCCTAACATCATAACGGTGGCCGAAGGATTGGTCCCTGGTGAGAACTTGAATGTGGATCCATCAACAACACGTAAGGCATTGATCCCCTTGACACGTAAATCCCCATCAACCACCTTTCCCACAAGGCATCCCCCATGGTAGTGCCAAAATGTGGCTACTGTGTCTCGACAAAATGTTTCCACGGATGCGGTATCTGTAAGGTTCATTGGTAATGGTGGTCCGAAAAAGTTGAAACCATCTTTACCCGGCAAATCTTGAGCCTTAAATGGTTTCAACGAATTTGTGCTTAATAAATCACCAATCTTCCTTGTGGCATTAACACAACGAGCAAGATCCAGCGGATTTGAGAAGTAGTTGAAGCGGACATTTGGACCAACTTTGACATCATAGGACGACCGCAGCCTAAGCGAACCATAGGACAAGGGTCCTGGATCTTTGTAGATAATTTGCCCGTAAGTTGAATTTATCTTTGCGGAGAAAGAAGGATCAGGAAAAATACTAAAGGGTGGAGTAGAAAATGGCAACCCAGAGAAAGTCTCTATGAAGAAATCGCTTGTGATGCCAACGATCTGTACACTAGAGGACTCCAGTTGAAATGGAGGCAAAATTGTGATGTAATTACGAGGATTATCACTCATAAACTGTCCAATGTAAGGCTCGGGGTGAACAACTGGGATTTTGATAGATGAAAGGTAGGACTCTGGGCCAACACCACTAAGTAGCAGGAGTTGAGTGCTTCCAATTGCCCCGGCACTCAATATAACCTCTCCCTTACCACGTATGAAGGCCTTATGTGACCTCCCTTTAGAATCACTATACACGATTCCTCTAGCAGACAAACCTGCATGGTTAGAACAGATTGTAGTTATTATCGAATTATTGAAAACCGAAGATATCAATTTACTCTTAATCTAATGGTATTTCTCCTGTCAATGTTCGAATACCCTGCTCGATTAACAAAGAAATTAAAGTAAAAGATGCAAATATATGAAATATACTTGGTGCGTTGGAAGAGAATATGATTCTCTCTACTGTGGCATGAACTGCAACTTTCAAGTTCTTTGGGTTTCCTAGATTAAGCAATTCCACAGCTCCGTGTCTCCTTCCCTGATTGTCGAAATAAGTACCCGAGACCTTAGTTCCTGGAATGTGATTTAAATTATATCCGTTGTCTGGACGAACACCAGCCTCTAACAAACCTTCCTTCACAACAGATTGCCAACGTGACACATTCGGGGGGGATATGATAGTATTTTCAACCCATTGATAGGCCTTTCTAACCAAATCCATGTCCCATTCAATTCCTGAGTTTCCATAAAAATCTTTATCGGCTCTAGAGTAGAAACCAAAGTTGATCATGCTTGACCCACCAAGAACCCTGCCTCTTACATTGGCCACACCATCTTCGGATGTGAACCTTTCAGCTGGCGTCTTTCCATCGTCTTCTAGCATGAGAGTTGTAAGAATCTCATCTTGACTGAAAACACTTGGATATGCACTTGGAACACTGCCCTTTTCTAGCAGGAGCACCGAGTACTTTTCTGATAAAGTTGCTGCTAATGGGCAGCCTGCTGTACCCCCTCCAACTACAATGTAGTCGTACACTTCTTCTAATGGCAGATCAGTGGAATTATAGACAAATTTCATGTAGCTTAAATCTGCAAAATATGAAGAGATGGAAGTAACTGATTGTGTCAGGAGAACTGTTTGTTATGGTGGTTTTTTTATTTTTATTTTTTATTTTTTTGAAGAATTAGAGTGAGAATAGTTACTATATAACCGGACGGGAAAAACTTTCAAAAATACGGTGAAATTTTCATTTATTATTTATTTCAATTTATTAATGTATGTTATTTATATTCAATAATATGTGAAATACATAAATTTTTCATGTATTATTAAAAAAAATTATAAAAAATACACGTAATAAAAATTTGTATTTTTTTGAGTATTTGATATGCGTACATAGAACGAAAATATTTTGAAAAAAAACAAAAAAAACTTAAGTGCGTGTATGATACGAGTATTTATCAAAGTCAAGTGTTCGTTAAAAACTTACCATCATCAGATGAAGTGGCGAATGATTGAACCTTAGATTGAGGATAGAAGACAGACAGGTACAAAAGAAATAATACAACACCAATTCTTGACTTTTCCATGGCTGACGTTTTTTCTCCTGAAAAATTCAAAAGCATTTTCAACAGCTTTTTCAAGTGGCAGTTAACAAAAAAAGTCCTCCTTTTCTTCTGTTTTTTCTTCCCTTGCATGGAGTTTCTAGATTGTAACACTATAGACCCCAGAGGGGCACTTCAAAATTAGCGATAATAATTTGAAATTGAAAAACAAAAAACATCAGTCTAACAATTTATTTTTTTTAATTTGAACTTTGTTATAAAATCCAAATTAATCATTTCCTTTCAATCACTCCATCCCATAATTGAACATTATGATATCAACAATCAAATTGAATTAGCCAAAGTAAATTCTTCATGAACCAGGAGCCCGATAACACAAGTTAGCTACATGGAAACACCAGCCACCAAAATCATAATCAAATACCATTGTACTTCAATTTCTGTGCCTCAAACATACGGAAACAAAAAAAAATTATGACAAAATAAAAACAAAGAAAACCTTATGTGCATGCACATTCCTACATAAGAATTTGTTTTGTATGTTTAGAAGAACTTACAAATGTTCAATCATTTAAAAAAAATTATGAGTAATACTTGCAATGAAAAATACCACCATGCCTATCGATGATTGAAAGAACTCCATGCATAATGTGAGTTAGGATTTACCTTAGATCAAATTACTGCTTCTGGTTATCTAATAACACGAACTCCCCACGGAAAATGACATAGATCTTCGAGGCCTTGTTACATATATATATAGGCCAAGGAGATCAAAATTAGAGAGATGGAGTTTGATTTTAATTTTAATTAAGGACCCCGAGTCTTCATTTACCCAAGACCACAGAATTAGGCACATTTTTTAAGATAGGGTTTGACAAAACAAGTCAAATACAGGGAAACGAAAATGCGGCGGGGCATGGACAAAAACTCGCAATGAAAAGTCCAACGAATTATACACGTTAAAATGAAACTATGCAGTTGGTAGTGTCGTCTGGCAACGTTGCTTCTTCATTTCAACTTTGCTTCTTTTCAAGGAACAAGAAAAACTGCACCAATGACTTCTATGATAGACCTATGATAGACCCATCAAGAAGCAAAGTTGAACTACGGAAGAGAAGTCCATCATAGTTTTTCTTGCATCATCAACTCTGCTTCATCGCTTTTTTTTTATATATTATTTTATTGGTTTAACTTCTATGATAGACCTATCAATAACACATTTCAATACGAAAGCGATGAAAATTAATTAAAAAGTAAAGACGTGTAGAATGAAGAGCCATTTGAATGTTGACGATGTATGGCTATATGGGAGGAAGTCGTAACCCACGTCGTAGAAAAGGGGGGTCATGGGAACTTTTTAAAAACACAACTTTTGTTCCGCATCATGAAATGGGGTTTCAATGACGCGCATAGAGTGTCTTGGAAACTTTTTCAAAACACGATGTTTGTTTCGCGTCATGGAATGGTGTTTCAACAACACGGATGGCGTGTCGTGAAAACTTTTTCAAAACATGACATCTATTCTGCGTCATGGAATGAGGTTTCAACAACACTGATCGGATGTCATCCTCTTCTTTCCATGGCGCAAGCTCAATGTCATGGATGAGGTTTTGATGATGTCAATTAGGCGTCATGAAGAGTATGACATTTTATTTGACATCGTCTTTTAGGACTTTACATGATGCATATGGCTATATGGAAGTCATAACCCGCGCCGTCGAAAAGGGTGGTCATGGAAACGTTTTGAAAACACGACTTTTGTTCCGCGTCATGGAATGAGGTTTCAACAACGCTGATCGCATGTCATCCTCTTCTTTCCATGGCGCGAGCTCGATGTCATGGATGAGGTTTTGATGATGTCAATTAGGCGTCATGAAGAGTATGGCGTTTTATTTGACATCGTCTTATTTTAGGACTTTACATGATGCAGAGAACACGTCATTGAACTTAACGACGTTCATAAGACGTCATTGAATTATTTTTCATGACACAAATCAGACATAGTTGAAATGTTTATTTTTATACAAAAATTATACATATCCCATCATTTTAATTCTACAAAAGAAACTAATATATAGAAGCAAAACTGAAGATTAGGCTAATATACTTAAGTTAAAATTACTCAAAATGATTCTATTACATCATGACAAGTTTAAAATTTGTCTTTTAAGTTTAACTAATCCCACAAAGTCAATTGTACGAAGTTTGAGAAAATTTGATACTTGCACTGTAGTTTGAGAGAAGATGTGATGCTTCATGTCCAAAAGAGGGTATAAATGGTACAAAATAATTATAACCACCATTACCTGCATTAAAACAAAAGATCAGAAATTGGGAATGAAGGTCTAGAAATTACAAGTATGCATGAATAAGAATGATCCAGGTGTGTAAATTCTTGGTCCAAATGGGAAATTTCATTATATAGAAATGTCTTGCCAAACCAAATGCCAAATAAAACAAAAGGAATAAGAGAAATCCAACCAAAACTAATTTTAAGGACCAAAAATTCATGAACGAAGTCTGACCAGGAACCTAGAAAGAAAAAAAAACAAGATAAGAAAAAGGTTTAAGCACAAGGGGGGATGGCACAAGAGACTAAACAATGAGTTCAAAAAGAATATATCTAATTGCCAGTTCACAAAGAATATGTCTTGCCAAACCCCGTACAGCTCTACCAAAACCATCCACTAACTCTTTTAATTTCATAGCCTCAACCCATATCGATTTCGAAAAGAAGAAATTTATCTCAACTATGATTTTAGAATAACCAATTAACTTGATCCAAACATCGATCAATGAACCAAAAATAAATTTTAATTCAATTTCAATCACAAGTACACCAACACTTCAAGGAGAAAAGAAGAGGAACTGAGAGCATGAATCTTGCAAATTCGTTAAACTCATTTTAGCAAATGGTGAGAGTAAAATAAGGTGAACTTGCGCATCCACCAAAAACAAAAGCTTGGGACTTGCTTGTTAACCAAAAAGCCCAAAATTATCCCAGAGCTTAAACCAACAAATCTTTCATTGCCAAGGCAAATGATATGTATGTGCTGAAATGAAGCTTGTTATTTGTAAGCCCTCATTTGCCTTTGGTGGCTGGGAGAGTCTTGTCGATTTCCACCACTTTTTAATAAATATATCGAAACTTGCTGGCCCATGTCTAAATTATAGCTCATATTACCACAAAGTAGGAGACAACCTCTCAGGTTAAACACTTTTGAATACAAAATATATCAACTGGTTAATTTACTTTAGAATTGCAGTAAAAAAACTTTAGAATCATGACTTCCATATAAATAAATAATAAATAAATAAATAAGGGAGCTGATTTTTCCCATTTTATTTTTGTCCACTTACTCTCCCCTTTGTTTTTTAATACTTTTTAATCAATTTTGTTCCTTTTTGTTCTTTCTCTTTCGTATTCTACCCTTATCTTGAATTAAGGTTTTGATAACTGAAATTAAGAGAAGTTAACATAAGGAATCCCTTACATTTGCATGTCTTTGGTTTGAAAGTTGAGAGGTTTTTCTGTCTTTTTTGAAAAAGTTTTGGCTTTTTTCAAAAGTAAAAGTTTTTTTGTGGCTAAAACCTAAATTTACTAAAATAGAAATATATATATATATATATATAAAGCAAAATGCAGAGAATTGTGAAACATTCAAATTACCAGAAAATGCCCTTGGTTAATTCAAACATTGAGAATTGAAATTATTAATTAAATGAGGATAATATGGTAAATTCATATTTTTTTTCATATTAAAAAAATTAAAATTAAAAACAAATCCAATAATAGGTCCTACTTTTATGGAACATAACTACTCATATTATCTTTTTTTAATTCTAAAAATAAAATAAAAAATAAAAAAGAAAACCAATTGGCACATGCGTGAGCATGTGCCAAGGGGCTAGTAAATAAAAAAGAAGTCTCAATGTCTTCTTCTCCTTCATCGTGTCCTTCCCACTTCTCCTACCCAAAATTACTCTTAGAGAAATTCATGAAATAGAACGATCCTTCTCCTACCAAAAGCAAATACTCTTTAATTATTGGTGAAAGGTTTAGGGATCAGAGGGCCTTTGGCAAATACTCTTTAACTATCTCTCTTCCCGAAGAGAAAGCTCCATCCTTTCAATTATTTATGTATCTCCCCGAGACCATTTTACTGACTTAGGCATTGGAGGGCCTTTGGCCCAACACCCCCCCAAATTTGTTCCGTTGACCGTATCTATTTTGCATATCATTTTATGGGTGTTGACAACAGGAGAAGTGCTTCACTAAGTCCCTTGCCTGCATTTTTTGGGGTGTGGATCAGAGTAGCCTAATGGTCGTAATGTTTTTGGGCAGTATATATGTATTTCATTCATTTCCTCATGTGCTTGTGCTGCTTGGCAACCATATAGAGATGCATGGACATGTGTGGTTGTTGATCCCAATAGTGGAACTGCAGTCTTACTTGAAATTCCTTGTAGATATGCTAATTTGATGCATTCAGGTTGGATTCTTAGGAGGACGATTATTCTCTATAGTGAATTGATGAAAAATCCCTGAAACTTAACATAAATTTTAACAGAGTTAGACGTATATGGTGAATTGCAACACTTTATATAATTTAGGTAATTAAAGATAAAAATTGAAAATTCAGGTAATATTTATGCAAATTTCCCAAAATATTAATACAAATCCACCTTAGAGTTACAAATTATTATAGAATGGGCCCTTTATAAAGTTTACCAGTATTTTTTTGGCATGGCACTCAATGTACCCATCTTTTGCTTACCAGTATCTATATTTTTTTGGTTTTTTTGTGTGCACTTTATGTGTTTCATATTTGATTTCAGAGTGGTTTGTATTCAGTGAATTGGGGATTGAATTTTGGGAAATGACCTCCAATGCCACCCATTTGCTAATTTTAACTAAAAATACCACTCCTTCCCAATTTTTTTACAACTAACACCTTTAAATATAAAATTATTGTCCACTTATTGTACCCATATCAGTTTTTCAGAAATTGGCTTCTCTCTCTCACTCTCTTCGCTCTATCTCTTCGGCCCGTCTCTCTCCCTGGTGTACCTCTCTCTCTTCGACGCAATGCTCTTTCTCCGTCAACAGTGGCTGTTCATCCAAGCGTAACTCCATCGTTGACATCCACGAGGTACTGTTCATAACCCTTTTCTTTGAAATTTGGGGTTTTTGTGAATTTGGTTTATGGTGTATGGATTTGTAAGAAATTGGTTTAGGGTTTTAGTGTTTAGGGGTTGCTCAAGAAATTGGGTTTGGGTTTATGGGTTTCTATGAACTGGGTAATAACTCACACCCACTCTCACTTTGTAAGGAACTAGGTGGTACAGAAGTATTTTCCATAATTAGCACACTAAGTTTGTTGGGTTCAGATGTTTAATTAGTAAACATAACCAAAGAGAGAAAAGAAAAAAAAAGTTGGAAAATAAATTGAAGGATAGATTTTGAAGGGCTAAGTCAGTTTGGTGCAATTGAAAATGTCATCATATTTTTGCTAGCAAAATCTGGTTTTCATTCCCCCAAAAGCTAAGTTTTAAGCCTTCCTGGAAGAAGTGAAGCAGAGAAAGAAGGGGAGAAATAGATTCATCTATTGAGTGTTGTTTCTGCAACTTGGGTTTTGTTGATGGTTCTAATGGCAAAGCTAGTTTGCCATTCACATCTTCTTCTGCTCATCATAGTTTTCCTCTCTCTCCATCCTTCAAGCCAGCTACAACAACACACTCAGTCACAAACCCTTCTGAAGATCCAGCAGCTTCTCAACTACCCATCAGCCTTAACCAGCTTCAGCCATAGAAGCAACATCAGAGACTTCTGCAAAATTGAACCAACTCCATCTTTGACTCTATCCTGTTATGAAGGCAACATAACCCAGCTGCACATTATTGGCAACAATGGGTTTCCTCCACTGCCTCGTGATTTCTCAGCAGACTATTTCTTTGCCACTCTTGTTGGCTTACCAAGCTTGAAAGTGCTTTCACTGGTTTCTCTTGGTTTATGGGGGCCAATGCCTGCAAGTATTGGGCATTTGTCTTCACTGGAGATTCTCAATGTAAGCACAAATTACTTAAGTGGTACAGTTCCTCTCCAACTTTCATATCTGAGGAACCTTCAGACTCTCATACTTGACCATAACAAGTTCACTGGTCAAGTTCCAGGTTGGCTGAGTTCACTTCCAGTCTTGGCTGTTCTCAGTCTGAAAAACAATATGCTTAATGGTTTTTTGCCATATTCTTTGGCATCTTTACAAACTCTCAGAGTTCTCTGCCTATCAAGTAACTTCTTGTCAGGGAAAGTGCCTGATCTCAGAAACTTGACAAACTTGCAAGTTCTTGATTTGGAAGACAACTATTTTGGGCCTCATTTTCCAAGTATGCCTTCCAAGTTGGTCACACTTGTGCTAAGAAAGAACAAGTTTCGCTTGGGAATCCAGACTGCATTAGGCTCCTGCTATCAGCTCCAGAAGCTGGACATTTCATTGAATGGGTTTGTAGGGCCATTTTTGTCATCATGGTTGTCACTGCCTTCCATTAAATATCTTGACATTGCTGGAAATAAACTCACTGGACTTCTCTATAAGAACATGACTTGCAATTCTGAGCTTGCTTTTGTCAATTTAGAGTAGTTTAGAATATTACTTTTGTCAGAGAAAAAAAACATGGCCTTTCATTGGCCAACTGGTCCTATAATGAGAGTTTGTGTCATAGAAGAGCTGGTTTAAATACCAAATAATACATGTTTCGTTTTTTTGTTCTTTTTTTGGTATTTGTTTTGTTTCATTTTCTTTTATTTGAAAAAATGAAAATTAAGCAACCTTTAAACCAGTATTCTTTTTTGGTCAACCAAGGAATTAGAATTGTCAACTTCTCTTCTTTCCTGTATCCTGAAGTTTCAAAAGAAATACTCTGTTACTACATTGGTATTATTAAGCACCAACATCTCATGTAGCTTAAACTCTATGTGCTTGCTTTGTTTAGGAGCGTTATTATCTTGCTTTGAGGCTTTAATTCTTGTCACTTACAGGATTTATATGTACCTACTTTGCAGGAAAATCACTTGTTGGAATGGCAGAGGTTGAAGCAGCCATACAAGAAATGTTCCAGGCACCTCATATTCAAGTGAGTCAAATTATATCTTACAGTCATGATGAAAAATGATTTCTGTTGGTGAAACTTCTTTTATTTAAATGGTATGTTACATCTTAGAAGAGGTAATCAATACCCTTGAGTGAGGCATATGACGCAGTGATTACTACGTTAATATGCATTCCTAATATGAAATACATGAGATCCAGATAGCTACATAGTTTTTTGGTCGAGTAACAAAGATGAAAATGGTGTCAGTTGGAGTTTGCTAAATCTTATAAGTGCCATTCTTTAGGACCCAAATTATCTGATGCTGGTTTAAAGTAGTGAATTTCTGCACTAGTAGCATTCAACTCCATACAACTTTAGCTGCATAAATTGTTATTGGGTTGAAAGGAAGTTTTATTTATCTATGTTGTATCTGGAAGAACAAAAAAAAAAAATTAATAAAAATTCTCTCTACCTTCTTCAGAGATATATTAATGCTAATTCTTTTCTTTGTTTTTTCCTGGCAGGTGATGAAAACTTCTTCCAGGCTGAGTAAAATATTTTTGACTGCCATGGTTTATGAACTCTACAAAACAGGAATGGGGGAAACTACTTTTGAAAAGGTGAACTTCTCATGCTTTCCCCTTATTGCATAAATTTACACACCTAATTGGTTTGTCTATTTCTATCACAGATTCTAAAGTTTGTTTCATGGAACATTTCATACCAACGCTGCTGGTACCTCTGCTGGATGCATTTACTGTAAGTATGACATCTCACTCCTAGAAGATTGCTTTTCACTGTGGTGCAAGTTGATTGCATAATGACAGATAGCCACCCACAGCTGTGAAACAACTTTGCGCTAATGCAGTTGTAATCTGTTGCAGAATTTGAAGAGATATTAATAGTTTAAATAAATTGGTAAGCTTTGCTTATTCTTTCATTTTTTGGGGCATAAGAATCAATATAGTATGCTATAGGTATGCATATTGTTAGCAGTTTTAGGACATACCCTAATTTGATTCCTTTTGCTGGTATTTCATTGTTCTGAGGCCGAGGCTGAGTTTGAACTATTGCATTTTGTTATATATTCCAAAACCAAAGTTATAAAAGAAAATGGTTTTCCTCTTTGTTAATTGAGAATCATCTACAGTTATGATTTCAGATCTATAGATAACTTGTTGTTGCTGATATTGCTACACGGGAGGAGAATATAACAGCTTGGAAAATGTGCAAGAAGAGAGCACTAACTCATACACCAAAGAACAAATTGATGAAGTTAAGATCAAATTAGTAGAATTTGTGAGCTCTCCATTATTTATAATTATAGGTAGGAAGTGTGTATATACTAGAGCAAAGATTGGTTGACTATGTAATAACAATTGAATTTTCAAGTTTTATGAAAGAAATAATTTTTGCTTCGCGGGACAGTATTGTTAGGGTTCGGTGACGATTTATTTTCCATGTCTAAATTGTAGTCTGTAATGGATGTGTGTGTATTGTATGTAGATTGACTTAATATTGTTGTCCTATTGCATGTGTATTGTACTAATATTGCCTGTGTATTGTATACATATTGCATGCATATTGCCACCGTATTGCATGTATATTGTGATGTTATTGCTGTCGTATTGCCATTATATTGCCCTAATATTGCCTCTCTAGTGTATGTATATTGCCCTAATATTGCTATTATATTGTATGTATATTGACTACGGCTCATCAATGGGTTTACGGTTTAGGCCATACTTCATTCAAAAAGAAGATGATGAGGAGAAAGAAACAACGTGCCTTTCAAAAACAGGCAGTCAGGTGCATCATAATTGCACCGTAAGACATTGTAAGAAATTATTTTAAAAAATAATAACAACTAAAAAATAATTTACAAAAAAAGGAAGGTATGAATAAAGAGACAGAGAGCAAGAGAGCGAATAGGGGGAGAAAGAGACAGAACGAAGCTAGAGAGAAACAGAGAGAAAGAGAAAGAGCTGCGCTACAGAAAGAGAGCAAAGAGAGAGACACAGAGTTGCACTAGAGAGAGAGAGAGAGAAAGAGAGAGAGAGAGAGAGAGAGAGAGAGAGCTGCAATAGACAGATACCAAAGAGAAAGAGAGATGTGCCAGAGAGAGAGCTGAGTGAGCTAAGAAAGAACAAAATTTCTGAACATGTGAAAAATCAGCAATAAGTGGACAATAATTATATTTTTATAGGTGATATTGTAATACTATTGCTATCGTATTGTGGTTATATTGCTCTAATATTGCCTCTATATAGTACATATATTGACCTAATATTGCTATTATATCGTATGTCAATGGCCATTTGGTCTAATAACAGTCTCCACTTCATTAAAAGTAATCCTGAATTCAAATCTCATAGACACGACAATTGTTATCCATCCTTATATTAGCATGAATTGATGTTGACCTTTGAAATGATAGTTGGAGTTGCACATCTATTCATATTCAAAAGGAAAGTAATTCTCTCCCTCAATGAATCTTCGTTCAAAAGAAGGCAACTATCGAATATTGGGTACAAAAATGCAAGATCCACAGTAAATTAATTAGGCACAAACCACATATTACAAAACCAGGATGATTTTTGGCATGCTTGAAAAGACAAGGGCCAAATACAACAGAAAAGAAAATTCATTCAAGCTTCTCACTAAACATGGCCCAAGCACTCGACCATGGTTTCAATCCAAACCTACCCAACAAGGGCATACCACGTGTCCATCGTAACAGAAGAGTGGCATTTACAAAGCATGACCTGCAATATGTTTCTTTTTCTCCTAAACAAAATTGTTACTAAAATGGAACAAAAGATCCCTAACATACAGCAATACAAGCAAAGATAGTCAATTGTCATACACACAAAATTAGTCCTCATCCATCCCTGCAGGCTGATCTCTCTTACTAGGGCCACCTGCTGGTTTTGCCATTATAATCTGCAAGATAGTCAAAGCACTATCAACAACCTTTTTTTAATGAAGGTATTAAACATTAAATAGGCTGCAATCAGATAGATTCATCATTTCTCACACATTTTTAGCTAGCCAGAAAACCCCCAGCATATAGATTTTCTATTTACTATCAAGCCTTCTGCACTGAAGCCATATTCATTATAAAAATTCAACATTTCCCAAAAGTAACTTTCAATTTTATTTTATTTTTCCAAGTTAAAAACTAACATTTGCGACCGCTCATTGGAGATCAAATGAAAGATTGGCTGGATGTTTCTGTATAAACTTGCAGGCAGTTAATGGGTGAAGAACTTTCTGGTTTGAGTGCCAAAGATCTACAGAGCCTGGAAAACCAACTGGAGACAAGTTTGAAAGGTGTCCGGATGAAAAAGGTGCCTAGTCCTGATTATATAGTCTCAGTTACTACTGTCAAGATCCCTTCTTTATGTAGCACATGCATGACACTCAGTCATTTTTCTGCAGGACCAGATACTAAATGATGAAATAAAAGAACTGAACCAGAAGGTTACCAAAGAAAACTGCCTCAGTTTCTCCTAGTCCATTTATGTTAATTCAAATCCTTGGGGCCTAATTTATACCTATTTTATATCATTCTTTTTACTTATTTCAGGGAAATCTCATACAGCAAGAGAATATGGAACTGTATAAGAAGCTAGACCTTGTAGGTAAAGAGAATGCAGAACTGCTAGAGAAGGTATTGTCTAAAAGATTGTATAATACTATTAAAATATATCCCTTAAGCTCTACTCTTCTATTTAACACATATTATACTTCACTAAAGGGAGGAGACAGGTGACAGGTAGAAGGAAAGAGAGAGAAGCTAAATGAGATATCACTAAGCCAAAAACATAAGGCCATTATGTGTAGGAAAAGTGAGTGTTAAATTGCTATAAAATAAATAAATAAACACTACAAACAAAACAGATTTTTACAACAACAGAATGGAATTACAAGAACTTTAATTGAGTCGAGGCAAGTGTTGGACACTCTGACCTTAAGACGAATTACGCCCCACACTGGTGCTTATGGTTCACTAGCGTTCGCCTCCCAAGATACAACGACTCTCCTCCTTATGAAAGAAGCACTACAATTCACAAGGAACTTTGAACCAAAATTATGCAGGAACCTCTCTTTATGAAACTCTAATGCTCTATATGTTTGAAAGTATGTATGTAGAGAATTGATTGAAAATTAAAACTGCAGGAGGATTGGTCTATTTATAGATGATGAAATACCCTTTCCAAAAAGGTATCCCAATCTGAAAAGGCAAACAATACATCCCTTGGTCTTGAAGAGTTATCACCCCAAACAATGTATCCTTAGTTCGAAGAGTTGTTACTCCCCATGTGAAGGTGTCTTTAACCCAAGGGTCATGTCTTTAACCCAATGGATTTTATTAATTTCCATTCAAATAGGAAAATCAATTTTAGTTAATATTAAATTTTCCAACATTATGTTAATTATAATATAAGCAAATGTGAAGGTTTCTCCTCTGGAAAAGGCTAAAACAGAAGTTTTTAATCTCAGGTTTATGGAGCAAGGGGTGTGAATAAAGAAAACAAAAGTTCCCAACCTCCATATACCATCACTAATGGATATGATTTGCAAACACCCATCCATCTGCAGCTAAGCCAGCCACAGAATCAAACTCAGCCTCGGCTTCAGAACAATGAAATACCAGCAAAAGGAATCAAATTAGGGTATGTCCTAAAACTGCTAACAATATGCATACCTATAGCATACTATATTGATTCTTATGCCCCAAAAAATGAAAGAATAAGCAAAGCTTACCAATTTATTTAAACTATTAATATCTCTTCAAATTATGCAACAGATTACAACTGCATTAGCGCAAAGTTGTTTCACAACTGTGGGTGGCTATCTGTCATTATGCAGTCAACTTGCACCACAGTGAAAAGCAATCTTCTAGGAGTGAGTCATACTTACAGTAAATGCATCCAGCAGAGGTACCAGCAGCTTTGGTATGAAATGTTCCATGAAACAAACTTTAGAATCTGTGATAGAAATAGACAACTGCTCGATGGTCAGTTAAGCAGCCATCTGTTATCCTAAATATCAAAGACGGGGTTTTATAAGCTTACATTGTCATGATTTCTCCGAAATCATGTTTTATTTAATAATTGATTTTGTGGTCTTATAGACAACCTCTCAGATCAGCCACAGCCACTGATTCTAATTTAAAATACCAAACAGTGCACAAACATCTACTATAAGCTAACCCAAGATTCCCAAAGGTGAACGAAGCCCAAACGTTCTGTGACAAAATGAAGAGTTTGATTTCTGTGAACAGTGGCTGCGAGCCAGTGACAGTGGGTGTGCATTATTACCCAGTTCATAGAAACCCATAAACCCAAACCCAATTTCTGAGCAACCAAACCAATTTCTTAGAAATCCAGACACCATAAACCTTCACAAAAACTCCACATTTCAAAGAAAATGGTTATGAACAGTACCTCGTCGATGTCAACGATGGATTTCCGCTTGGATGAACAGCGACTGTTGACGGGGAAAGAGCACTGCGTCGAAGAGAGAGAGGTACACCAGGGAGCGAGATGGGCCGAAGAGAAAGAGCGAAGACAGTGAGAGAGAGAGCCAATTTCTGAAAAACTGATATGGGTACAATAAGTGGGCAATAATTTTATATTTAAAGGTGTTAGTTGTAAAAAAATTGGGAAGGGGTGGTATTTTTAGTTAAAATTAGCAAAATGGTGGCATAGAAGGCTATTTCCCTTGAATTTTTTTCTTCTTTGTGTGGTTGAAATTTGTTGAAATTTGCGATTCTTCATTCCTGTTTTTTCTCTTAATTTTTTTGGGTCCACATTCGGTTTACTTTTGGTTGATGAATTTGTCGATATTGGACAATCTTTTTTGTATCTGCGCTTGGGTGGTTCAATAACCATTTCTATTTCAATTCTGCTTTGGCTCTGTATAGATGTACAGTGCCCTGAGTTTCACACAAAATAGGTCAATCACTACTTCTGAACCATATTTGTATTTTTTCATTGTTCGCATACTGAATGCTTATCCTTACAAATTTATTGTATGACAGCTTCAAGCAATATCAAGGACCGAGGAAAGAAATTCAAGAATGAGACAGTGCGTTGTTCAACTACCAATTTCAGGGGTTAAGTATTGGGTTGTTCAATTAGTGTATTCAAATACCACCGTCTCTTTTTTACATCGGCATGCTGATTGTGTTTGACACTAGGTGTCTGTGAGAATACAATTTTAGGTTTGTAATTTCCTCTTTCTATTTCTATCTTTCTGGAGGAGGCAGGTGACAAAGGAAAAAAAACAAAATTGAAGAAGAGGGCTTTGGCATTTAATTTTTAAGCTTCCTCTCCAAAAAAACACCCTTTCGTAATTCCCCTTATTACTTTTGTGGTGTTTTTGACTGGAATGCAGTGTTGGTTTTTATTTATGTTGAAATCCCTAATAACAATTAACTACTATGAATTTTTCTTTTTGTTTATATATTGGTTTTTGATGATATTTAGGGGTGGTTTGCTTATTTTTTATGTTCATATTACTGTAGTTGTACTTTCTACATAGTTAGTAGATAGGTGCAATGCATATCAAGAAATTTGTTTTTCTGAATATTGTAGGTTCATAATGCAAAATTTTGGTTTTTGCATATTATTTGGTTTTACATTTCTGTGACATTTGGCTGTTTAGTTGCCAAGAACTATAACGTTGATGCATGTCAAATTCTGATGCGTAGACTAAAACCCAGTGTTAAGTCTACATAACACACAAGCACGCTTCACCGGATTCTCTGCCTATAGTGTCTTATTTGTTTTTCCTTTTACATGTCTATTTATTTATGATATGTATTAGTTTCTCCTATCTTTCTGTTTGTTGTTGTTGCATCTTTCAGTAAAAGATTGACGTCTTTTTTTGCATTTCTTTTCTGTTAGGAATTAGATTATCTTTTGAGTTTTTGTTTCTTTTCCTCGTTTCTCAAGGAATACTTTTGGTAGAGGAATTAAAAGCTTCATGAGGATCATGTGCTTGGACTTCAATATAGTCTCCTCCAATTTTTGTTGCTGTTCTTATGATGCATTTTTTCTTGGTGCTGGTATAACTAAAAACCGTTTGTGCTCAGATAAAGGAGGTAGTGTTCAAACTCAGAAAGAGAGAAGATTTAAATTCGTATAGGAGGGATAGTGTTCAAGCTATTTACCATGTTATTATTTCAAATCCTATCTCTTTTTTGTCTTCACACGTGCTCTTCCAAGTTTTAAATTGTTTGTTAGGATTTCTGAATTTGGGTGTTTGATTTCCGAATTTTAATCTTCTCTATTTTGGCTAATTTTGTCTTGGTTTCTCTCTGTCTCTTTCATTCTTATGTTTCATTTTGTCAAATAAACATTTTCTCTATGATTTTCTTATGTTTCATTTCGGAATTTTAACTATGTTTATATAAGGATGTTGATACTTTCTTATATTCATTCATGTGACAGCAAAGGAAGATCACATTTATTACAGTACAGCATGAAGAGAAGGCTCATAATTTTTTGCGTGTATCTAATCCTAGAGCTCAGGCATGCAACCAACAATATCAGCAGACTGCTTAAAATTGGAGAAGGTGGATTTGGGAATGAATGCTTATAAAGGTTCAATGAAGCCTTGCTGGTGCCAAGAGTGATCCAATCGTGGTCCCCATTAGAATGCTTAACAATGATGGCTTACAGGTATATATGGGGTTTAAGCATCTTCCTATTAATTGAATTGTTAAACAATGCCCTCAAGAGTTTTTTCCCTTTCTTTTTTTCCATTATTAGTTTACGTACTTCACACACTTTTGTTGATTTATTCTCCTTGAATATATAAGCTCATAGTTAAACTACCATATGAAATATTGTTAATTGAGTTCTGAGTCTTCTGGCCCTTATCTCTTGACATTTCTGTTCAGTCTCTTTCTATGACAACTTTTTAATTTTCTTTTAAAGTGAATTTGATGCTATTCTATGGAACATTTCTTATGATTTTTTTTATTTGAGTATGTGTATATATTGCAAGAGAGAATGCCTAGAGTAAGTGAATTCTCTTAGCATATTTGTACAAACCTATTTTCCATAGTTTAGTTTACCTTGGTTACCAAAACTGCTGTTGGATACTCACTTTAAATGTGGCATGCTTCAACCAATTTAGATGTTGCGTGTATCCCACCACCCGAACCAATTTATATGTTGATACTCAACATCATTGCCATGCACATATATAATAGGTAAAGTTTCATCGTTCTCTTTTATTTTTCTGACTTTTTAGAATGATTGGTTTTGTTAATGTTTTTTGTCTTTGGTTTTATCTAAGAGGATGCACAGAGTTGGCAAGTTGTGATGCCACTGCAGAGTACCCAAAGAGAGTAAAGTGGATGGCGGAGATACTAATTTTTCTACTTAGGACATCAATTATTGATAAAGGGTGAGAGTCTGTAGTATTTTCTTTTTATTTAGCTTGATATGTCAAATTGTTTGCCACAACTTCATTGGAGTTGGATGTTTATTAAGTCTTTGCATTTCAAAATTGGCTACACCTTTTTTCTTCTTCTTCTTTTCTTACCTCCATTGGAGATGTTCCTATTAATTTTGAGACGACGATTTATCAAACGCGCGCAATTAAAATATGGAACTGCTGAAATAGACATCTATATAAATACAATTGTAAAAAAATATTTACGAAACTTTGTAAGTCGCGCGTAGCACGCATGATTAGAAAAAAGCCTCTTGCACGCGCAGAAGCGGGAGACTAGTCTTGAAATAAAAATAGAAATAAAACTAACTTGATGACAAGTATTCGAAACTTTGAAATTATTTTTCTTTAATTTTAAAGATTATGAGCCAAACTGCCAGCTGGCATTGACTTTGATGAAGGATGGTGCATAATGTAATACAGCCGTATTTTAAACAACAATGGTGCAGTGGCTGCAACATGCCAGTCACGTGGGCTTTTAAAAAAAAACAACTGAAACCGGTTGTTTTGGTTAACCGGTTAAAATAAGGAAACAAATTCAAGTGCCTTCAAAACCTAGACGCATATTCGCTTTCCTCAATCCCCTCTTCCACAGCTTTCCACAGCCAGAGCCACAGCTCTATTTCACAGCTGCGCAGCTTTCCACAGCCTGAAATATAGCTCCCCCCACTTCGTCTTCTCCATCTGAAGAGCAGATTTCAGCCGAAACCCACAAACACACTTCGTTTCTCTAGCTGTTCCTCCATCTAAGGTAAGTTCGTGTGTTGATTTTCATTATGTGTAATTGATGGTTATGTTGAATTTATTTTTCTTTTGTGTGAATTTTGAACGATATGGCTATAAATGAAATTAAAGATATGCACTTAACGAGCTGCTCTATTTTTGCTTTCCAGTAACTTAGAGTTTAGCATTTGGGGTTGATAATTGGACCCCCTGTCCTGGTTTGTCGGCACTCCCCTCGTCTGCCGTCCGTACACCCTCTCGTGGAAGCCTCTGGTCTTCGCTTGTTCTGAAGGTAAGTAACAACTATTTTTAGGTTTAGTTAATTGAAATATTGAGGTCATTACTTGGGGCGAGTCATGGGTAACTTCAAAATGTCGTGAGGTTAACTGGCTTTCTCACATTCATGCCTGTGTGAAAATCCAGCTCATTGTATGCAATTGCAGTGTGTAGATTTATTTTTTAATTAAGAAAGTAAGGTGATTTAGTGATAGGTAGGTTTGATTGTGTTTTTGAATATTAAATTTTGATATTTTGTGATGGAGTATGAAGTGTTTGGAATGTGTAATGTTTAGGATTGATTGAGATTGGGATTGGGAATTGGAAGGATTGTGATTCCCGTCCCCACAGCAAAATGCATGAGCGGGTTGTCTACGTTATTTGTGCAAGGTTATAATGGAGCTATTAATGGGTTCATGCCATTTGAAATAGTGTCATGCAATTGCATATCGCTATGTTCAATTATTAATATCTTGTGTGCAAATCCAGCTCACTGTATGCAATTGCAGTATGTAGTTGTGTTCTTATTTTGTGATGGAGTGTAAAGTATTTCGAATGAGTAATGTGTAGTAATCTGTCGTGTTTATGGTTTTTTGGGATTTGGATTAGTATTGAGATTCTCGTCACTAGAGATAATTGCGTGATTGTGTTGTGAACTTGATTTGTGCAGGTTATGGATGCTGAAAAAAGTGTTCAAGTGAAAGAAAAGCACAAGGGCGAGAGTAATTTAGAACATGCAAGAGTTGGCCGAGATGCGTTTTTCCATTTCATGTAAGTTATAGATACATGTATCAAAAAAACATAAATGGGGTTGATTAGTATTAAGATGATTTTTGGATTAAAAAAATGATTGACAGGAAAAAGGAGTGGTTTAAAATTGGGCAAGTGTGTAGTGCAAAGTCAAACACTAAGGTGAGAGATGGCAACGGATTGGGTCACAATTTACTAAATATTTTATTAAAATGGATTTTACTAAATATAGTACCTACTTTTACCATAATATAATTAACGACCATCTAAATTACAAAATATGTCGTTATCCCATTATTTTCAAATTTCAAATTTTAATGCAATGCAATGAACCACAAATTGTATTGCAGTTTCTATTTCTATTTTTGGCTCAACTATTTATACTTCTTCCTTGTAGTTTATCTCTACTTGTCCCAATAGTATGTTCATCCCTTCTTGTTTCAGATCACAAATGGCACAAGAAATGTCCCCACAAAAGAATGAAGCTCAAAGCCAACAAAAGCCAAGAATCAAAATAATGGATGAAAAGAGAAAATCAAAGCCAAACTATGATAGGAAAGCGAAGCACCCGGACTATGTCCAGTTTCGGTGCAATGTCAATGCTTTCAATAGCATCATTACAGACGTTAAAGACAAGCTCAATGAAAGGCAGAAAAAGCTGCTCAAGAAAACGCCTTTCTGGAACTTGATTGAGCTGTTTTACAACCAAAAAATTGACATGAATAACATGAATAAGTCGGACCTCGACTTAGTAAAGCTGCTCAAGAAGTTTGATCCAGATACAAAGTCCTTCAAATTTGGCACCAAATCATTCCAGATCACAGCCAATGCAGTGACTGATATTCTAGGACTGCCAAACGAAGGAAAATCTGTCAAACTTGGCAATGATAGATATACTTCTACCTTCAGAACAAGGCACTTTGGAGAAAAGTCAAAACCATCAAAATGCGTGGTAGAAAAAGAATTACAAAAGACAATTGCTTTGGCAAACCAATCGAAGAAAGAAAAGGCCAAGGTAAAGCAAAAGAAGAAAACGAACGTAGGAAAAGGAAAAAAAAAGCTAAAGAAGAAGAAGAAGAAGAAGGGGAAGACAAAGAGGAAACGGAGGTTGTTGACTACGATAAGGATGTGGTCAGTCTAATCTTGATTATGCTCTGCATGACATTCCTTTTCGCCAACTCTTCATCCACTTTGCACTGGAAAATTGTTGAGCACTGTGTGACTCTAGACACACTTTCAAACTTTTCGTGGGCAAGAGCTGTTTCAACCTACATAAATGACTCTTTGATCACAAAGGCAAAAGCAAAGAAGGGAGGAAAAGCCTTTATAGGAGTTGTTTCGGGTTGCACTATCCTAATATTAGTAAGTAAACAGTGGCTTATGCAATGAATTTTGAGTTTTATGCAATGCAGTTTCTATTTACTACAATGCAATTTCCATTTACTGCAGTGCATGAATTTTGAGTTTTATGCAATGCAGTTTTATCCTAATATTCTAATTTATGATATATCTTGTTTTTGAACTTTGCAGTTTCTACTGTGTGAAAGGACAAATATCATACAACCAATCCTTGACAAGGAGAAAGAAACTCCTGCAATTCTTAAATGGAGTCTTGTGGAACTCCACACAAGATTCAACCAAATAAAGGATTTAAACAACATAGAGGTATGCAATTTATTGCATGCTCTATTTTAATGTATCTTGAATGTGAATCCATGCTAAATCATTCTCATTGTATAGGGTATTTTCAAAACCCCTACAAAACAAAAAACTCTCAGAGAAGAAGGAGACCCTGTTGACAAGGTAATTATAATATGTACACAGTGGCTTATGCATTGCAGTTTCTGTTTTTTGTATTTCAGAAACAGAAACTGCAATGCAGTGTCCGTTTCCTGCAATGCAATTTGCATTTTATCCAATGTAGTTTCTAAATCATTCTTATTGTACAGGGTATTTTGAAAACATATAAAAAGCGAAAAACTACCAGAGAAGAGGGAGACCTTGTTGATAAGGTAATTAGAATCTCTAAACAGTGAATTATGCATTGCAGTTTTTGTTTTCTACAATGCAGTTTTTGTTTTATCGAATGCAGTTTATAATTTGTTTCCATTCAATTTGCAGAAAAAAGAAAACAAAGATGATAAAGGAGGACAAGGAGAAGTAGATGAAGTAGCAGAACAAGGAAAACTTGATGATGATGATCAAATTCCAGAATTAAAAGAGATTAGAAAAAATAAAAGGTTTGAGATTGCAACTGGAAAAGAACCTGTTGTAATTCAAGACCTCTTGGTGAAGTCCATGACGGCCGAAATCAACTACCGCCAACATCAAGATCCTAGCTTCGTTTGCCCAAAAAGATTAAAACTGTGGAAGGATGAAATAAATAAAGACAGTGAGAAGAAAATGATGGAATTGTGGGATATATTCATCCAAACAGAAAAAAGATCAAACGAATTGGAAAAGGAGTTAGCAACACACAAAGAGAAATTACATGAAGAATGTGTGGCTGCTACTATGACAGTGGAATCTACAATTCTGCTTCACGAAATACAAAATTTGAAAAGGAGGATTACAAAATTGGAAGGCAAGGAACCTCATATTGAGCCGGAGACGAGTGCCAAGAAAATGAAGATTCAAGAAAAGTACAAGGCAGAAATTGAAGGCATGTTCTCGGACCCAACAATCTTTGAAATAGAGCGGGATCTGCTTACAACACAACTAACACAGCCAGTTGAAGACAAAGAAGAAGATAGAGAAGAAGAAAAGAAAGAAGAAACAAAAAGAAAAAGAAGAGAAGAAGCAAGATGCTCCAACACTTGATGTTCCTAAGAAAGCACTAGGATGGGGGGAAAAGGAAGGTGTGGCAAAAAATTCCAAAAGAGGACTAGGAAAAAATTCAAGAATACTACTTAAGTACTCAACCTGGGTCATATCCCTTTTCCAAAAGAACAATTATTTCATTTTTTAATTACAATTAAATTGAAACTAATCTTGTGAATTTCATGTATTCAAATCCGCAGTGATAACTTTTGGACAGGACTCCTTGATGAGAAAGTGACAAACAGTGATATCAAAGATATTGTATGGGACTTGGAACTGTCACAAAATGCAAGTCTAAACTACTAAAACACACACTACATTGCAATTCATATTTGTGCCTCGTATATTAACCGTTAACAATTCCATTTTTCTCCAATGAATGTGAAACAGGTTATTGAGGTCTATATACAAATCGAGGAGGAGAAAATAGGGCCCATGCAGACAAATAGTCCACAGTACATGTTTACATGGACTTGGGTAAGACTTATTTTCAAAATTCAAAATTGATTAAACAGACATTGCACTATAGTTTTTGAAAAATATATATTAACAAATTGCCATTCAATGCTTGCATCTTACATGCAAAACTTTGTAGAGCCAGCTTGGCATAGGGTCATGTATGAACCCTTGTTGGAAAAACTCGGGAAATGCAATGTGCTTTTCTTCCTTATCATTTCAAGCTCCGAGTTCCACTTTACCATCCTCGCATTTCACAAACTAGAACAAAAGTGGAGACACTACAATCCACTCAAGTCATTGGGAACAAGAAAACAAGAAAGACGCATTGACATTGCTCATCATATTGTAAGTGGAATGAATTTGTCTTAATTTCTCAAGACAAACACAAACACAAACACAAACTGCAATGCAGTTTCTGTATTATACCTACTGCCTAATTTTAGACCAAAATTATAATATGCAATGCACTAATTACTTTTTTTTTCTTCTTTTTTTCTTCTTCTTTAAACAGGTTAATATTGTTGAAGAGAATACATGAGACCTAAAGCACAAGTGTTCTTAGAACGTAGAAAAATACCAAAACTTGTGAAGCAAAGGCAAGAGCCCCCTACACTTGTACTCGAAGAGATGTCCCCAAATGAAGAACTTACTCTCAATTGGATTCTGCACAGTCCATATCAGTTTCCATTTGAGGATGACACAGAATATGCTCAACAAAGTTCATCTTTGTAAGAACTGTTCATACTCAACTATTCATTATAGTTTGAAATCATTCAAAATAAAAAACTAATCTCATATTCATTCGTAGGTTGGATTGCGGCATGTTCGTCATGTTCTACATGGATAAAATAGCACAAGGACAGCCCATTCCAAAAAGAGTAGACAAGAATTTCATGAATGAATATCGAGCAAAATACATCACAAAACTCCCACACCACAGAAACTGTCTCATTAATCGTCTCTAGTGATTTGTCTTTTGTTAACACAAGACAATATGTATCTTAATTCTTCTAGATGTCTGAAAATATTTCTAGTTATGGGATATGAGAAAAAATTTGTTACACATCTAAACTGTCATATAATCTTAGAACAGGATGCAACAAAAGGAAAAGGAAACAAGAAACTGCAGTGCAGTTTCTGGTAAAAAAAATTGCAACAAACAGAAACTGCAGTACACACAATGCAATAATACACAGTTTACATAATAGGCTTCCATCCTATAAATAAATCAAGGCAGAATCACTAGCCATGCTCTTAAGTCTAACAACACATTAACAATGCAATTAATGAACTCAAATAATTTTACGACTACCACGGTAATCAACATAAAATAACTTATCAAATCTTCAACCTACAGAAAGGCAATATAATACTTTCCACCAATTTTCAGCTACAACAACTACCAACCATGAACTATCACCAGCAGTTCTAAGGGCCTTGGGCCCGTTATATAATATACTCGAACCTAAAATTAATCGTTTATTTCAAAATGGATCTCAGACCTATCAAAACCACATCCACTATTTATTAAGATCCATTTAAGTGATAACTTAGAAATAAACAAGCATTTAATCTCACCCGAGTTTAAATTGGGCTTCAGGAGTACTAACATAATCAAAACCGAACCCAACATTAATAATAAATAGGATTCAAATCCAATAACCACATCAAAATCCATTCACATGCTCAGAATCGGTCAAACCTTTTAAATATAGTTTATTTTGCGACTGCACCTAGGTGAGACCCCAGGCTACCTACGTACCCCTTGGTGAGGGATCAAGCAGCACGTAGTTCTTATTTCACAAATCGCGTTTCAGATAACATAAAATCATTTTCAGTATTACTAATAAGTTAATTCTGGAATTATCTTTTCCCTTTAATTTAAATCACACTATACCAAACATAATCCTCTCTAAACATTTGTCTTTTCCCGACATAGTATAATAATCCCATTTTCCTCTCCCTGTTACTTTACTACGCGCTGGAGAGTCCAACACCACGCATAGTCAAGTAACAGTAGCCCAAGTGTACAGATCGTTTACCACACGCCGGAAAAATCTAACGCCATGTGTGGTAAAGTAACCAGTGTCTCAATGGACACACACACATTGGAAAATCCAAAGCTATGTGTGGCCCAACCAAACCATGTTCCATGTGCGCAAACTGCTTTATCATACGCCAAATAATCCAACGCCATGTGTGATAAGCTTATAACATAACCATCTATGCCCACACGCCGGATAATCCAATACCACATGTGGGTACCTTAACTAAGGGAGGGTACGTAGCATGGTGTAATCCCATATTCACATTACCAAACAATAAAGTACCCCATATTATATTAATCTCTTACCTAGTTATTAAATCATAGAGTGAAAAACAATTCCTCAACACATATAATCCATATTCAAAATAATTAAGCCTTAAAACCTGAGATACCCACTCCCAAACAAATCATTTCCATCTAACCTAAAAATATATATATATATATATATATAATACGACCCATACTTCCTTGTTGAAAACCAAAATAAAATAATAATTAAGCAAACACCAAACCTGAGTAAAACATTTCAATTTTATTAATATTCAAAACACCACTCATATACCTAGGAATATACAATCTTTGAAAATCCCCTAAGACAAGATAATAAAATCCAAAACACTATATCTTACACAAAGTCACCATAATCCTTTATAAACAATATTAATGGCACTTATAATAATATTAATAATAACAAAATATAAATGGAAAGTCTCCTGTTGCAAGATAAAAGCCAAGACCGAACCAATAGCCCGTTTTTCATAACCTCATATATATATATATATATTATAAAAATAATATTCCAATCCTTAATTCAATTTTTCCCAAATATTTATTCACATTATCGAAAATAAACTCTCAAGCAAATATTCTAAAAGACCCCAAAAATAATTCAAATAGTAATAAAAACTTGTTTACACTTAACTTCCATAAAATACTATATTCCATAATTAAAACAATAGACTTTCATAAATAACCCAATACCACCCAATCCATATCCTTTAATAATAATCATAATAATATTAATTAATGATAAATAATAATCTTTAGAGATCTCATATCCTCATTAACCCATATTAAATCAATTTCAATTCAAAACTCATTATGCAAGAAATTCCATATTAGAAGAACGAAGTACACATAAAAGCAAACATCCATTTATTTACTAATAATCATAGCCGAGACCCAAGACTCGCTTTCATAACCCATCGATCAAGTATCCCATACTCATCCCTTCCATAACTTCAATTATCAAACTAATAATCCAAGAATTTCATACGATAATATAAAACAATCACAAAATCCCAACATAGTCAACATAACTCAAATAACATTCAAAGACTCGTTAATAAGGTCGTTCTAGTACTTCTTGAATGGTGAAACTACCTTGGAAAACTCATGGTCAACCGAGGGGTCAAATTGCCCAAACTTGGTCAACCGGGCCAGCGGGGCTCATGACCTCCGATTTACAATCCGACAATTCCTATGGGTTCAACAAGGTTTATAATACACGTCCTGCAAGTTTGGTCCAAATCGAACGGTCGGATCGCTCGCAATCGCACAATCGGATGGTTATCGTTTAACGCGAACTTTAAGTTATTGAATCAGAACATCCGAGGCTCTGATTCACGATCCGCGAATCCCTACACGATCATAGGGATGCCTAGATCAACATATATTAAAATGAAGTCGATCGAACGGCCTACACATATGGAACCAAGATAACGCCGAATATATGATATTCGATCTATGATCATACGATAATCAAATTCAAATCTGAGCATATCGTCGTGCTCGGGAAGACATGGGGAACATTTTAGAACCAAGAGGGACACCCAAACAGTTCCCACGTGCAGGCAATGCATGGGTGTCTAGAGAAATTCCAGTGATTGGAAAAATCTCAAAACAGTCGGTCAAGACCTATACCTACTTGATCAGGACATTGGGTGGAGCAACTTTTGTTCTTGGACCAACCCTAAAAAGTGGCCGGAGGTGGTCGGAATCAAGGGAAGAAATATGCCAAAACTTTAATCGCTTAATCGGTCACCAAACGTAGAAATCAATCCTAAACAACATAACCAGCAGCTAGAAGACATTAAAAGGATGAGAAAACATACCTGGATCGACAAATTTGGTGGCTGGAATCATTGAAAACGACGACGGAAGTTTGACCTAAAATTCGGCCTATTTCTACATTTTTCAGCTACCATGGCCATTGGCTTAGTCAAATGTGGTGCGGGATAGAGAGAGGAAGGCGGTCTGGTCATTTTGGTACCGGCCCCACCACAAATGGTGGCAGGATAAGGTGGTAGCCGACCAAAGAATTGGCCGGCTATTGCATCGCAAGAAGGGAAGGGGGGTGCTTGGGGAAGGAGAGAGAGAGAGAGAGAGAGAGAGAGAGAGAGAGAGAGAGAGAGAGAGAGAGAGAGAGAGAGAGAGAAAGAAATGAGAATTTCATATTTTTAGGGTTATTTGTAGCAATGGTCCCTCAACTATACTCGGAGTTACATTTTGATCACATAACTCAAATATTAGTTGCAGAGGTCACTCAATTGGGTGTTGTGTTACACCATTAGTCCATACCGTCAAGTCTCTCTAACGGTAGAGACTAATGGTGCAACACAACACCTAATTGAGTGACCTCTATAACTATTTTTTGGAGTTGAGTGACCAAAATATAACTCCGAGTATAGTTGAGGGATCATTGCTATAAATAATCATAATTTAAAAGTCACATTTGCCCATCAATAATCTAAAAGATGCTTGTCACGTTATCATTTTAAACAGAAAAAGTCACAGACTTGACGGTAAGGACTAATGGTGCAACACAACACCCAATTGAGTGACCTCTACAACTAATATTTGAGTTGAGTGACCAAAATGTAACTTCGAGTATAATTGAGGGACCATTGCTACGAATAACCCAAATTTTTATTAAAACCTTTTTTGAAATATTTACGATTATGCCACTATGCTTCTCTTGATCGTAACTTCTTCGTTACAACACCAATTCAAGCCTACTACGTGTCTACGGACTCATCTCATATACGATCTATGTAATGGTGCCACTCATTTTCCAAAAATCCTTTCGGATTAAAAAGTGACCAAATTACCCCTACTCCTGGGGCAAAATTGTAATTTCATATTTAAATTAATTAAATAATTTAAATGGATAATTAAATTTGGGTCGGGGTGTTACAGTAACGCATGTAAGTAGTTTCCATTGCATCATTTATTCTAAAATCATGGCTTCCAATGGTGATTTTGCTAATTGCATGTGCCTTAGTGTAGGTAACTGTTGAAGTTGCAATCGAGATATTTGAGCTCAATGCTGGGTTGAATGCCCTTCTATTTTCAACTTCCTTGGAAGCAAGCATAGAGATCATGCGACTACGCCCAGAGAATGTGAGTCAATTCAGCTTCGATATCCAATTGATTTTTAAATATATATATATATAAAAATGAGACTAATATAATTGTAATAAGAGACCAATAACGAACATCAATATTGTAATAGGAGAGATGGAAGAAAACCACAAGGACAACAATTGCCACTAAAGCGATTGGTGAAGAAGTACAAGATGATAATGCAGTACATGTAAGTTTTTTTATTCTTATTGCCCCATACGATTTATAATACATACAATTTTACCTTTTTTTTCCTAATTGCACACAGGTGGTTTGGAATTGCATCACCGTCATGCAATTGCATGTTTGTAATGCAAACTATGACCGCATGTGTGCAAACGACTATTCAATAAAATTGGTTATTCATATATGTCGATGTTCCACTGTATGTGGGAAGAACAGAATGAAGATGAAGATCCAAACTCCACGGAGCATAACCACAAAGCTAATGAATGGGGTGCTTTACCTAGCACGAAGGGAAAGAAAATTAAATAACTACTTAATTATGGCTATTTAAGAAATTAGGGTTAACCAAATTATGGTTTAGGAAATTGGAGATATTTTGGAATGTTATTCGCATTACATGACAATATGTGATACTATGTATTTCGCATAATTGCCCATTATCGTTTGAGATACTATGTATTTTGGATAAATGCGCCTCACGATTTATAGTATATCTCTTTGAAAAATATGTTCAATTTTGCCATTAAAAAGAAAATATGTACCATTTTGCCTTATTTTCATTTGCGCACGAACACTCTTGTCTAAGAACACCGTCGTGCAATTGCATGTTTGTGATGCAAACGCTGGCCGCTTCAAATAGAAGTATGTAAATCCAAAGCTGACCGAATGCGTGCAATTGCATGTTTGCAATGGAAACGCTAACCGACTGTGTGCAACTAGAAATATATACAATTTCCATTGAAGCACCACGTAGAAGTTGTCAAACTGATTCCCAACAAAAACCACAAAACCCAATAATATATTATGAACCATATATTAAAGCATCTAGTCCATCATTAAACCTACATTTCTTGTTCATTGTTACATGTAAACCAAGTTCCAAAACTACAATTGTTTTTTGTTAAACCAGTAAAGAGAGAAATAGGTTCACCATTGTCGAATGTGAACTCATCATCACTGTTGAGGGTAGAACCAATTGGGTTCCTAGTAGAAAAAGCATCAGAATCAGACAAATCAACCACATAGTTGGTTGTGGATTGAGAAACCATTTCACTGGCATAAGTGTAGCTAATGTCCAGCGACATCCCATTCTGGTTACTATACTGATAGCTTTAACTACCTAAAGGCATATTCACAACTACACTTCTACTTGGATGCAAGTTTCTTTGAGAGCAAGTACGCTTTGTGTGTCCATATCCACGACACAAATGACATTGTTGATGCTTGCGCGTTCCAACCTGGCTTCCTTGAGTGCCTTTTGTTCTAACAATATTTGGATCTTTCACAATATTTAGAGGAGATTGCTCAAGACTACCAAATTTAAGACTTGTCTCTTCTTCCTTTTCTTTCGACAATATTGGTGGGTTCAACTGGGTTTTTTTTTATTTATTATTATTTTAAAGACTTTTCCTATTGAGAGAGACAATAACATACTAAACTGACACACTACACGGATGCTAGAACTAGAACCAAGGAACTTTCATGGGGAGAAATTACTATACTAGTAGATCCTTTGTGGGTTCAATTGGTTATTAGGAGAAAATATATGTATCATAGTCCTTTCTCCTCGGTGCCAAAATTACCATAATTCTTTAACAAATTCAAATTATCCAAAATATATTTTATCCACTCACTCTTCTCCTAGGTTTTATCCAATAATGATTATTTTTATGGGACTTTCAACCGCTCTCATCAGAAAAATGTACCGTAAAAGTCCAATGAAAGTTTCTTTGTCTGTTAACCTTTTTTATTAGTAGTATTGCTTAACAAAAAATTTAGGTGTTGGTTGTCCATAACTACCCTAGACTTCCTCCAACATTCTCATCACCTAACTCAATTTTTATATTTGTCTGGTGATATTTTTTTCTCAGTGTTAGGAGACGTACGAAATTTGATTTCCCCCTCCCTCTTAAAATTTAGGAAAAGCACTTTTTATATTGACAAAAAAATTTATTTCATTTGCATAAAATGCACCATTGTGCATGACTTATTGTCATATATGAACTACAAATATTAGATATGGGAATCTCTCTGATGATCTAGAAAGACCTTTGTACTCTGAAACTAAGAAGAAGATAGTGTAAGTATTTGAACACACCGGTGTGGTGTGAGTCAAAGAACCTCTTATGCCTAAGTTAGATAACAATAAGGAGAAAAATAGAGTTTCTGTGTGAGTCAAAGAACCTCTGATGCCTAAGTTAGATAACAATAAGGAGAAAAATAGAGTTTCTTAGCTCAATGAATAGTTACCTTCTCCAAAAGGCAAAGGTTACGTTGGTTGATTTACGGCCATGACAGTCTGTGTGTTGAGCATTGATTGAGGGTGTTGAGACCCCGTTGACTTACATGTAATGATTAATTAGTCGTTTGACTTGGGACATGTGAAATATTTACTGCCCATGGATAAGTCTTGCTAGGCTTAGCCCTTTGAGCCATTTGCAGGCCTTGCCTAAGGCCTGGAAGGTGCATGGGCCCTTGTTTGGCTAGCTTCTTTGCAAGCCCTTGCTTGGTTATAGGCCTTGTTGGGCCTTCCCGTACCAAGTGGTCTCAAGTGGACGCACTCTTCTTATTATTAGAGCAACTCCACCCATTTGCCCTTAGCCATGGCAAGGGGGGGAGCTAGGGCAGCCACTATTCACGTGAATAGTAGTTGCCCTTGCAAAATCCGAATTTTGTGTTTCCACCCGTTGCCCTTGCTAAGGGCAGTTACTATTCATTTTTTTGTTTTATTCACAACTTGTTTTACCTCAATAATTAATTTGGATAATATTTTCGGATAAGATTTTCGGGTTCCTACGTGTCAATACTATTCATATCTCATAATCGGATAAAATTTTCAATTTCAAATTTCAGATAAATTATAAAAAAAAAGGCTGGTATTTATAGAAAAAAATTCATTAATTTTTGGGTATTTTTTAAAAAATTTTCCGAATTTTTTTCGGTATTTTATTGCAAAAAAATTGGATGCCGTTGGATTGGAGGAAAAAATCAGATCGGAGAGCCCAGACGACGCCACGTGGCAACAGGAAAAAAAATCAAATCAGTGAGATACTGTAGTGATACTGTAGCGGGGGTACTGTAGTGATACTGTAGCGGTACTGTAGCATTACTGTAGCAGATACTGTAGCACTACAGTAACCCCCCTCGTTTTGGACCTCGGATAAGACTTGCCTTCGGGCCAGCCCGAGGAGGTGGGTCCCACACCCCCCCGGGCCTGGGCTGCTCCGCTGGAAATTTTTTTTTTTTTTTTTTTTTTTTTTTTTTTACCCCTCGGGCTGGGCTGCATGGATGGAAAGGCTCTTATGGCAGAGGAAGCAACCTCTGCCAGCTCCGAGCAATGATATTAACTGCTTCTAAATCATGCATGATAAGATGCCTTCCACTTTCTCCCACCCCTAATCAGGGGCAATTTATTCTATATGGACATCCTACTACCCACGTGACGTTGTATTATTGTGTATAGATATTTGCTCCCACACAAGACACTTGGTACTGTTGTGTTTTTTGGCGAGCAAGACGAGTAATTTTCAGGCATGAGGGTCACAGACCACCACGTCCACGTGGTGTACAATTCCACTCATATTTATTAGTATATATAGGTCCATAACATATCAATTTGTCGTTCACCCATATTATAACAGATGGATTAATAACAACGTGTGGCAATGTCACTTTCATACTCAAAAGTTACTCCAGCTGAACATGTTACATAGTGTAGTCATACAGGAAAGATAAATTACGTAGTGTAGTCGTACAACAAGCTGTGGTTATATGTTCATCTGAATGTGCTTACAGTTTTTGTCTTGCAGTATCTTAAGGCCAACACACCTACGCAAAGCCGCAACGTGAAGTGAATTTTTTTTTTTTTTTGAAAGGATGTAAAAGTAGTCATCCCAAACAAGACAAGCATAACCATGTATAAAACTCTTCGTAGAACTTTTATGCGGCTAAACTTGAAGTACAATTGAATACATACCAGCCTAACATCATAACGGTGGCTTCAGGGTTGGTCCCCAGTGAGAAAATGAAAGTGGATCCATCGACAATGCGAAGTGCATTGATCCCACAAGGCTTCCGCCATAGTAATGCCAGTATGTGGCTAATGTCCGCAAAATGTGCAAAGTAGTTGAAGGAGACATTCGGATTGACTCTTGCATCCTTAGACAATGATAGCCAAAGAGAACCATTAGATAGGGGTCTAGGGACTTTGACAGCAATGGTTGCCACACCTAATTCGATAGGTGAAGCAGTTTGGGGAAGAAAGTTGATCAATGATGGAGTGAAATTAAATGGAAAGGTACAGTGTTAGAGAATGACTGTATGTAGAACTCGTTTGCAATTGCAGTGACCTGTGGATATGTTGGTTTTAGTGGAAATGGAAGCACAAGATTGATGTTGTTTCGTGTTCATCAATCATATATGTGGGAAATCTCTTATGAGACTTTCCTTCAGAATCTCTAAACATGACTCCAGTTGCAGATAGACCTGTGCAGAGTATACAAGCCCTTGAGAAATAGAGCAATTTAGAATTTGAAGGCATGAAATATTGGATAAAAGATTAATAGAGGTAGGAACATATGGTAAAATTAACCCACGTTCATTAGTAGAAAAGTATTTAATTAACAGTGCTCACTAATGTGATTTAAGTAGCATCAAAGAGGGTAATATTTTCTTAGTAAAGCGGTGAGTAATGTAGACCGTATTGATGCGTCACATTATATACCACATTACTAATAGATACGAGATACAAGTGGAATCTACCAATAGATTCCACAATCTTTAGTTGAAGTGCTCTTGTTGTGACATAGTAGTGTTGAGTTGTAAAACAGTCTAATTAAAAAATGACGTGTGTTTAAAAGTAAAAACAAGTGACTGAATTTCGACAGATGTCATTGTTTTGTTAGCCAGGATTATAGATTACGTGAATGCAATATTCATAACATACTTGAAGCATTGGAAGAGAAGATGATTCTCTCTGCAGTGGCATGAACAGCAACATGCAAGTTCTCAGGGTCTCCCTTGTTAAGCAATTCCACAGCTCCATCCGACTTTGGTTCCCAGTACATGTGTTCTAAACTAAATCCAGTGTCTGGACCAAGACCAGCATCCAACAGAGCATCTTTCACAAGAGATTGCCAATTAGCTTCCAAATCTTAATGGAAAACCTGTTTCTTCAACCCACTGATATGCCTTTTCAACCAAATCCATGTCCCAATCGACACCCGATTATCGAAAAATCTCCTCTTCAGCTCTAGAGTAGAAGCCAGAGTTGATCATGCTTGTCCCTCCCAAGACTCTGCCTCTCACATTTGGAATACCGTCTTCTGAAGTGAACCTGTGGGCTGGTGTGTCACCATCATCTTCTTGATATAGATTAGCAAATATGCCCTTGTCATGCAAGACATTTGGATATGCTTCTGGAACATTGCCTCTTTCTAGGACCAGCACTGAGTATTTTTCTGATAAATTGCAGCCAAAGGGCAGCCTGCTGCGCTCCCTCCTACTACTATGTAGTCGTATTCTTATTCTGGTAGCAGATCAGTGGCATTGTACACTGATTTCATGTAACTAAAGTCTGCAATTTAATACATGAAAGTTAAAAGATAAAGAAGTTGAACATATAGGTAATTAAATATGTTTGCACAAACTTAAATATGTTTGACCAACCAATCAAATATAGAATTAATATCTGGGGATTATAAACTTATATAATACCATGATCAGAAGGATTGGCAGCATCTAACATCAAATGCAGAAATATTTATATGTAGGGAGTTTTAATTTCAAGTAGGCCTTTTGACCCCAAGGCCTAAACCCAAAGCCAAGCCCAATTTCATCTTATGCAAGTTTAAATGGGAAACCCTGTAGGGAAAGGCTATGGGCCTGGCCATGCAGTTTTTATTTTTTTCCGAACTCACTGCTTCATATTCCCTCACTTTGTAGATAAGCTTTGTTATTATTTTGCTTCCATGTCTAAAGTGATTTAAGAAATATCGCATATGGAATCAGAGACAGGGTACCTCAAAATCACTGATTCTGTGGCCTTACAAGAAAACTTGCCAAAACAAGTCCTAATTACACCCGCATATGTTACCTTTCTGATATCTTCTTCTTCTTATGGAGGAAAATATACACTCAAATAGGTCACCTGTACAAAATAGGTAAGAAATTTGCAACTCAATATTTACAACTCATGCCAGCACTCACCTCAAGTTCGTACATAAGTGTTTGCAATGCTCAACTTTGTAAGTTAGTGATAAATAATTGATAAGGGTCTCATGCACTAACCCCAAAGACGGGAGGAATGAGGGGCAATAACGTTTCTTCCTCCTCCCCTTGATTGAGCTTTTACTTCAGAACTGAGAGCAGACATGTACCTACTAACATGCTAACCTGGGCTAAAGCCCAGGCAGCTTGTTTTTTTATAGACTAAATTAATATTCTAGCCTAAGTCACCTAAATAAAATATTATTAATTAATCCCATTAGGACTAGGCTAATCACCTAAATAAAATATTATTAACTAATCCTATTAGGACTAGGCTGACCAACAAATAAATAAAAACAACAAAATTAGCATAAACATACTTCTTGATTGATAGATTGATTCGTTTGGTGCTAACTCTTTCTGTGTCTACAACAACAACAAAATGAGCATTTTCATGTATGAGACTTATTAAAAATCGACTTCGGAATAAGATAGGTGATGAGTTTCTTGCTAATTGTATGCTACTTCATATTGAAAGAGAATTTGCTGATAATATAGATAATAAATCAATAATTAGTGATTTTAATTATGTGAATACTTGAATGGCGCAACTTATATAAGTGTTATTTGAGGGGTAAGACTCATTATGTCTCCCGTGTTTTGTTATCAATGAACTCGTTGAGGTTTTCAATAGGTTTGTATGTAAGGTTAATTTAAGCCCACGTCATTTTGAAATCCTGGGTCCGTCCCTGACTGAGAGGATTTAGCTTATAAAAACACTCATTTTAAAAAAGAGGCATTTAGTTATTTAGAAAGGAAAATGTAGTCCTAAATTACATTTGTTGAGGGTGACCCAAAAAAATTGCATTTATCGAGTGCTCCACATCAATATATAGTATAAAGTTGGCTTGACTGTTTTGTTTTTTTTATAAGGCTAAAAGGATAAGAACTTATTTGTACGTAATTGCCGAAAGGCACCTGGATTTTTTAAAGAAGAGGTGTTAATGCTCGCGAAGAAGACGAAAATATCCTTTTCAGCTACCCTCACATATGCCTTCATTTTCCGACTTGTTCATTACTCCCAATGTCACCGTCCTAAAAGTAGGAAGTGACCCAACCACTCCCAACACTTTGGGGGCGTTTGGCATCCTATTTAAATAGGGAATTCAAAAAATTTTATTTTTCTTAAAAATAAGGAGTTCTTAAATCTATTTTTAATATTCAAAAACTTGTTTGCTATGCAACTTGAAAACTATTTTCAAATCTTAAAAATTTGAGAACTTGTGGGTTGTTAGAAAAAAAAACTGGATTTTTTTTTTTTTATATTTGGTTTTTTTTTTTGAGTTTGAGTTTTTAAAAATAGGGCTACCAAACAGGTTTTCTTTATCAAGTAAATATTGTAAGAAAAGGAAATCACTAAAAATTCTTTGAGAATCAATTTCTCAATCAAGTAAACACGAAAATTAAAATTAGTCTTAGAAAGCCCTCCAATTATAAACAACATTTTCCTGGAAAACAAACAAATAATTTTTTTTTTTTCCGAAATTGAACATTTGGATTCTATTTAATTATTTATCACAGTGACCATAATTGCTTACAAAAGCAAATGTAGTGACAAAATAGGAAAAATCAAGACATTCTGACCAAAATTGAAATCGTAGATCACAAAGGCCATCCAATAAAATGTTCACTATAACTCAAAATCTAATTTTGCTTACTCTTTTGTATATAAAGTTGCACGCAATATGCATTGTGACCCTTTTTATTGATATTTTAACATTCAAAATATCGATATACACTTTCTTTAAACTGTTTCATGTGAAGCGGCCAATACATGTTGATGTTGGGAACTCTCACTCTCTTTAAGGAGTTTCAAGCCCACTGCAGTCTGGCAAACCCTACGAATCGGTGCAACAACCCAACTGAATCGTTGTATAACTCAAACCTATATGCATAAAAAAGACGGTCCAAAACTCCACAACAAAGACACATTTCTCTGGCTAGTTTAGAAGTACACAATATATTTTCTACATATTATAAGAGGAATAAGAGGATATGAGATGAGTGATGAGGGATTCTTGAAAGGGTGGAGAATGTGGTGCTATTTATACGCTCATAGAATCACCCCAAATTTAATTGGGTGGAAAAACCAAAAGTCAAAAGTCTCAAAATTAATGGGACGCTACAAAGGTTATAAGAAATTAAAAGTGTAAAGATGTACCATAATTTAGCATTAAATAAGCCACCATAATTTCTCACTACATAGAAATAATGATAATAATAATTTAATTAATATTAACATGCACCAACAAGAGTTCCCAAAATACCAAGTTATTGGAGTGTGATGTATGTGTGATGATGTAAAATTGGTGAATGGGAAAAGAAGGCAAGGAAAAATGAAATGGAAACTTAATACACTTTAAAGTTGTTTTAAAAATAAATTAAGGTGATTTTGAAAATTAGTTTCAGTTTTTGAAAAACAAAAAACAAAAAGTGTTACCAAATATGTTCTTAGTTTGAAAAACTGAGAAAAATTAAAAACTGAAAACGAAATGGTTATGAAGCAAGTTCTTGATACTTTCTATGCCATTAATGTAAGACAAATTTGTGTCTTGGTCTAAATTGTGGTCTTCTAATCATATCTGGTTTGGAGGAACTGTAATTGATCAAGAAGTATGAATCCTAATACCAATGGGATACTCAATCAAACAGTGTGTTTACATTGAGATAGGAGTATCTTAAGAATTCCTAATTCTTTATGGATTAAAACATCCTATTCCTAAGCAAACAGGATCTGTTCAAGTACTCCTTGATAGGTAAAGTATTGGAACAAATGCTTATAAATAAGGTCCCTTCCCTATCGACAAAAACACACTCATAACAAAAAACCCACCCCATCCAGAGATAGAGATAAAGTGCCGAGTAGGAGAAGAAGATCCTTATTCACAATGTCTGATCAAGGTTAGTATTTGAGATTCAAAGACATGATAGAACTTACATGTAGTATCAGAGCACTAGATCTTGTTCTCTAATCTAACCTACATATTTATAAAAGAATACTACTAAAATAAAATATTGATCATTAGCATGAAGCATGTAGACTTTAACAAATTGCATATCTTATATGATAAGGTATGATCAAGGGCATCAAGAATATTTGCTCGATCTTGCTTGAAAGGCTATTGATCAAAGACTGTGAATTATTATTATGCCACAACTGCTTAATTGTTCCAAGAGTAATTTTCAATAGAAAGATTAATCTATACTTGCATCACAACTGGTAGCCTTTTGTGATTACTTCTATCCATAGATAGTAAGTACACAAACTGATAACAGATGTGATGGTACAATATGGATGAAGAGACTGAACAAACTAACAAGAAGACTTCTCAATCCACAGATGAGAAGTTCTACTTGTGCAGGAAGTTTGTTCAAACTCAAAATCCTATTTAGGAACATGTTCAAATCATAACCCACAGGTGTGAATTGATAATGTTTAAGTAAAGTTTAATGGGGACAATTATTTATTATTTGTTATATGTTTGCAGTGAATCCTTCAAACTATCAATCCATTGAAACACTGACTGGATCGAATTACCAAAAATGGAAGCAAGATCTGGAGATTTCTTTAGGTTTTCTTGATTATGACTATGTGCTTAGAGAAGAACCTATTCAAGAATCGGCTGCAAATGCTTTTGCATCAGTGAAAACCAAATATGCCAAGTAGGAAAAGGCTAATCGTATGAGTATGCTAATTATGCAAAGGTCAATGGCATCATCTGTGAAAGGTAGCATTTCCAAATCTAAGAATACTAAACAATACTATAAAGCTATTGCACAGAGATTCAAGGAGTCTGAGAAAGCTGTCAATAGTAGTACTAAATCAGTTGATTAATATGAGATATGATGGACAAGGATGTGTGAGAGCTCATATCATGAATCTGATTGACATTGGAACTAAGTTGCAGGATTTGGAATTGAATATAAATGAAGATATGATGGTTCATCTTGCTTTGAATTCACTTCCTAAGGAGTTTAAGTCTCTCAAAGATACCTACATTGCTAAAAAGGAAAGCTGGACACTGAATGATCTTATCAACATATGTGTTTAACAAGAACACAATATAATAAGAGAAAGAGATGCAAAAATGGTGAATCTTGTGCAATAAAAGAAAAATAAGGAATATAGGAACAATGCACTGCTGCTGGAAAAGAGAAAGAAAAGGAAAATGATAATAACAGTCCAAAAGCTCTGAAACCAGTGGGATTGAAATCCTTCTTCTGTAAGAAAACTGGACATATGAAAAAGGAATGCAGAAGGTATAAGAAATGGTTGGACAAACAGAAAACTAAAGGTAAAAGTGATCAAGTTTTGGTTTGCTTTGAATCTAATTTAGTTGATTTTACTGATGATTCATGGTAGTTAGACAGTGGTGCATCTATTCATGTGACTAATTCTTTGCAGAGATTCAAAAGGAGGAGGCTGCCAAGCAAGGATGAAGTGAAGGTGAAAATAGATAATATTGAACTAGATTCTAGTTTTGTTTTTCATTTAGAAGATGTGGTTTATGTTCCCTCAATAAGGCAGAATCTCATCTTAGTTATTAGGTTTGTAAAGTCAAAGTTCACTTTGAACTTTGATGATTTTGGTTGTTCTGTTTTCAGAAATAAAAGTTTAATTGGAAAAGCAAGTATTGTGGATGGTATGTTTCGATTAAACTGCAAAGAAACTATGGAAATCAACTTAGTTCAATCCAAACCATGCAAAAAATTATCATTTAAACTGTGGCAAGAGACTTGGACATATTTCAAAGGAACGAATCAGTACACTATGCAAAGAATTAGTTATACCACCATTGAATCATGATAATGCAGATGATATATGTATAGAATGTACAAAGGGAAAATTGACCAACCTAAGAAAGAAAGGTGATGTAGGAAGTCAAAGTGTATTGGAACTAATCCATACAGACATATGTGGACCATTCCTAACTCCAACTCATGAAGGGTTTAATTACTTCATCACTTTTACAGATGACTACTTGAGATTTGGACATGTTTTTCTGATCAAAGAAAAATCTAGTGCTTTGGACATGTTCAAAATTTATAAAGCTAAAGTGGAAAACCAACTAGACCTAAAGATAAAAGTTGTCTTATAGAATAAGGGAGTTCTTTGGGAGATTCGATGAGATTGGGAGGAATCTTGGTCCTTTTGCAAGGTTTCTACAACAAGAAGGAATCACTGCTCAATACACTAATCCAGGGACTCCACAGCAAAATGGAATTGCATATAGGAGAAATAGAACTCTAAAGGATATGATAAGAAGCATGATGTGTTGCACAAACTTACCAATTTTTCTGTGGGGAGAAGCTTTGAAAACAGCAAATTACATACTCAATCGAGTTTCCCTTATGAAGTTTGGAATAAGAGAAAACCAAGCTTGAAACATTTGAAAATATGGGGCTGCAAGGCAAAGGCAAAGATGTATAACCCTAAGGAAAAAGAAGCTGGATTCGAGAACTGTAAATGGTATCTATATAGAACTAAAGGATACAGATTTTAGAAACTCAGAGGGCAGTGTTTATAGAATCTGAAAGTGAGACGATCAAAGATGAAAATTTTGAGTTTAATGAAGGTATTGCAAAAACTGGGGAAACATTGCAAACTGACATTTTAGTTTTACCAAGTTTTAACTTGAATGTTAATCAAAACAACCAAGAAGGGCAAACTGGTACAGACCTTATGGTCACTGAAGAAGAAACTTACGAAAATCAAGTTTTACCTGAAAATCAAGATGCAGTTCAAACAAAAGAATGCACTAATAATCAGCCAAATGTAGGACTAAGAAGGTCAAAAAGACCAAAGAAACGTGCTTTACATCATGATGATTACCTTCAAGACTCAAAGCATGATGTGAAGGACATTGAGGATCCTATGAATTTTAAGCAAGTAATGATGAGTGACAAAAATGAAAATTAGTGGGCTGCTATGAAATCAGAATTAGGTTCCATGGTAAAGAATGGAGTTTGGGAGCTTGTGCCTTTACCACAAGGGGAGCAAACCAATTGGTTGCAAGTGGGTGTTCAAAACTAAGAGAAATTCAAAGGGGCAGATAGATAGATATAAGGCTAGATTGGTTGCTAAGGGGTTCACACAAAACGAAGGAATTGATTTCAATGAGACCTATTCACCTGTCTCAACAAAAGACTCCTTTCGAGTGATCATGGCTCTAGTAGCTCATTTTGATTTACACTTGCATCAAATGGATGTTACGACTGCATTCTTGAATGGAAACTTAGAGGAAGAAATTTATATGCAACAACTAGAAGGTTTCATTCAAGAGAATGGAGAAAATCTGGTTTGCAAGTTGTGTAAATCAATCTATGGTCTAAAACAAGCATCTAGCCAGTGGTATATAAGATTCAACGAGGTTGTTAAACTATATGGTTTTACAGAGAATGTCTTAGATGAGTGCATTTACATGAAAATGAGTGGGAGTCACTTCATAATTATGATTTTTTGTGTAGATGACATTCTGCTAGCTTGCACAAACATGTCCATGTTACATGATTGCAAGGCATTCCTGGCTAAACATTTCGACATGACAAATTTGGGAGAAGCCTCATACATTTTGGGAATCGAAATTAGCATAAATAGAAAGAGAGGTATGTTGGGACTATCACAGAAGACTTATATAGAAAAGATACTCAAAAGGTTTAACATGGAAGGTTGTGCAGGGTCAGATGTGCCTATTTCAAGGAAAGCGTGAGATGGCAGATAAACCTTATGCATCATTAGTTGGGAGTCTCATGTATGCACAAGTATGCACCAGACCTGATATTGCTTTTTCAGTAAGTGTATTGGGAAGATTTCAGTCAAATCCTAAACAAGCACATTGGATTGCTGGTAAAAAGGTCATGAGATATTTGCAGAGAACAAAGGACTATAAGTTGGTTTACAAAAGGAGTGACAGACTGGAAGTAGAAGGTTATGCTGATGCAGATTTTGCAGGTTGCAAAGATGACTTGAAATCTACATCAGGATATGTTTTCCTATTTGCTGGAGCAACAATATCATGGAGAAGTAACAAGCAGCCACTCACAGTTGCATCGACTATGTTGGCAGAATTTCTGGCTTGTTATGAAGCAACCACTCAAGCTATGTGGTTAAAGAACTTTATCACTAGTTTGGGTGTGGTTGAATCAATTCAACGACCTATATAGCTTTGGAATGATAACAGTGCAACAATACTTTTTGCAAAAGGGAATAAAAGAACAAAGGCATCAAGAATTCTGGAAGTTAAATTCTTTGTTGTCCAAGAAAAAATTAGAGATGGGCATACTATGTTGGAGCACATTGGCACAAATGAAATGGTTGCAGATCCACTTACTAAGGGGTTACCAAATGCTGTTTTTCACAGACATGTGATTAGCATGGGATTGACAGTTCATTTGATGACTAAAATAGTGGGAGTTTTTATCAAGTTTTGGTAGTTTAACTAGTTTTGCTAGTTTCTATTTAAATTCATACAGTGGTGTTTTAATTTGGATGATTTTCAATTTAAGGATTCAAATATAGTATATTTATGCAATCTAGTTTATATGCACATGTTATTACTTGAATATATGTGGGTGGCATAGCATGCATTTAAGGTAGCCATGAGAGGATTGTATTCATGACAGTTTGCTATTTTGGTTATGCAAATTGAGACCTTGGTAGTCATTTACAGGGACAAAGGAATTAATGACCTTTGTTTAAAGCAATTTTAGTAAGGTCATCTACATTCTACAGTTTTAATCTTGATCGAAGCCTTATGTGGTGTTGAAGAGTTTTAAGTGTGATTATAAAGACTTTGATAACTGTATGATGAATAAGTCTCAATAGTCTCTTATAAATTTTCTTCATTGACAGTGGCTTAGTCGGAATTTTATCTGGATATACTTTCACAAGGCCTTAAAGTGATCAATACGAGTTTTCCGTAGTGATTATTTGACTAAGTGGTAGATTGTAAGACAAATCCATGTCATGTCTAAATTATGGTCTTCTAATCATATCTGGTTTGGAGGAACTCTAATTGATCAAGAAGTATGAATCCTAATACTAGTGGGATACTCAATCAAACAGTGCATTTTCAAAAAATATATATGTATTGAAATTATTCGAAATCATTTTTACACAAAAACTTATCAAAAGCGAATTTTATTTTTCTTGGTCGAATATCAAAAGCCATATTATGCAGTAGGTTTTTTTTTTGTCAAATATTATGTAGTAGTTTTATATGTTTCCATGTAATACAACAAGCTCACATATCGATGGATTTATCAAAAGATATTAAAAATTGTCAAGACATGAACCCAAAGATAGAAACTTTTTTTTTCGAATATACCCCTAAGCAAAAATCCAAGAAAATCAGGCAGCCAAATCAATAGGAGAAATATGAATGGTCAGCGACCTCTGTCTGCCACACTGGCACGCTGACAGCGACCTCATTGAATTCCAAGCCAATACCTACAAATCTACAATGAATGGTTCCAGGGGGGTAATTCTGTCCATCTACTTGAAAAAAAAAGAGGGCAACATCGAACGCACCCCACGTAAGGCTAAAAGCCAAACTTACCTATATTTTAGTTTCCTGCCTGCCCGCTTTGGGTGCACTCTGGATGGTCTTTAAGGGGGATCTGGGTTCGGGTAAAGCAGTTCCACCTATTTTTCATAATAAAAGCAAGGAAATACAAAGGTAGTTACTGTTCATGTAAATAGTGTAGTGTCTGCCTTAGTAATTTTTTTGATTAATTTCCACCTATTGCCATGGTAATGAGATCAATTTGCCTAGGCAGCAGCTCAGGCAAGTCTTGCCTTTGGGCTCGCCCGGGCTTGGTGGACCTCACCTCTTGCCAAGGCTAGGTTTCACTGCTGGAATGGGTTTTGGGAGCCTAGGGGGCCTTTTGCCTAAACTAAGCTCCCCGCTGGAAATGCTCTAACTATGCTACCTTAGCATGTGGGGTCCACCGATGTATCTTTGGCAAGGATCCAGATCCTTTGCTTTGAGAAAATATAAAATATTATAGTAGTATAGCCACATGATACATCTTGTACATGTGCTATAATATAGATGGATGACAAAGTTTATTTTCCCCTCTTTTAGGGAATAGAATCGATAAATATCCATTTATATTATCATGTGTACAAGATCTACCATGTGGCTATACTACCTTAGTAATCTAAAATCACTCATCTACTTGGATATTCTCTGCCATGATTTGTTTGAATGTTCTTCTACACACGCCTTCTCATTAAAATTTCATCTAAAGAGCTATAATGTTGACACATCACACAAAACCCAAACGCCTCAAAAAAATTTAAAAATAAATCCTAAACCTAACGTCTTGTAGCCTCTCTCTTATTCCAATTTTTTTGTTCTTTTCAATATCTCTCTCTTAAAGAGACATCATTATCTTCTCCATCTCTATCTTACTCGTCTTCTACTACCACTGTCCTCATAGAAACAAACGCAAATTCAATCACTAGAATTGTTCTTACACAATCCAGAAATTCTTTGAAAAAATTTGAGTAAAATAATGGGTTCTTACACAACCCACAAATATGCAACAATTGGCTAGGGTTTTTATTTGATGATGTTGACAATTTTAACTCGTTGAACTAACATGCAGGTTACGTGAAAAAACTATACCAAGGCAATGAGGTGGTATGCTAATTAAAAAAGAAATTGGGAGATTCACTATTATACCCAATATAGGAGCTCAAATAAGGCTACCTTGAGTCTCTCCATTTACCATAACAAAGTTGATTGTAAGTAGCGAACCTCTTGAACTAATGAAAAACTTGAATTTTGTTCATATAGAAAGGTTTTCACATATTTGTTTTAGCTAACATGTGTTTCAAAATGAGAAAAGAAAGGTTTTTAAATTGAACTAAAATAAGAAAAAGAAATCATGTTGAAAAACAACCCTTACCTCTTTCCCGAAATGTTGACAACGAGCTTATAACTCAAGTGATTAAAAGCAATTATCCCTACACCAAAGGTCATGTGTTCTAATCACCCTTTCCCATTATCGCTTGTATAAAAAAAAATGTTGGACATCATTATTTCTCTTATCCCTTGTTGTTTTTTCCTAAAATTCATATTTTGGCATAAATGGTGTTTAATTAATTGAATCTAAAAAGGAAAACAATAAGAAAGAAGGAAATGTGTATGAACTTGGAAATACATGCGTACGGATAATTTTAGACATGTCAATGAATTGGATTCTAATTTGAATATGATGCAGTTTTTTTGATCAAATAGAAACTTCATTAGATAACAATACTAAAAACAAACCGTACTACACTCATTTGAATATGATGCAGTTAATGGGATATGAATTGAAATTCTTAATTCAATAATTCAGTGATGATTTGAATCTAATAACTCATAACTTAACAAATCAAATATACATTAGAGGTGATTCAATCGATTAATTATCTTATTCTACTTAATGTAATATAAACTTAATTTTAATATTATGTTTACAAATTATATATATGAGTAGGAACGATCTGATTTTTTCGTGCATTGAAAATATTCTTAAATAACCTTCGTTGTACCAAAAAAAAAGAAGAAGGGTAAACTTCACTTACTATACTAGATGCTCACACAGATTGTTCATTAGTATATACAAGATCCAAAATACTCATCAAAGTAGTATCTAGAAATACGTGATGTGATGTATTTTTTTATTTTTTTTTATTTTATAAAAGATAAATTTTAACAGTACAATCAAAGACATTAATATGACAAAGTCCAAGAGGAAAACAAACTAACATGTTAAAAACAAAACTAACAATGGACAAAATCCGTACTAAAACTACTACCCCACATCACCACAATTAACCATAAGCCTAAACAAAGTCCACATACCCAATATAACTGAAACCCTAAAGCAACACATGAGCCTAAACGAACCCTACCACCACTAACTGAAGAAGCACCGTCGCAGCCACACCTACCACCGTATCCGTAACATATTTGGGAAAAATATGGTTTCCAGCGATCTACCTACGCATAAAAGTGAACAAATAAATGAAAACAACTACCTTGACAAAGAACTATTAGGTAATTTGCATCAACCTCCGTCGAAGACATGTAGATCCAAATTTAGAGAACATGATCAGTGTTAGAGAGCAGGCTTTGGGAGAATGATTTGTTTGAGAATGCCTCAAAGTGGTGATGGGGAACTTCAATCAGAATATAGCTTAGAAGAAATCATCATAAAAGGCTTCTTATTCAAAACGCTTAGTGGACTTATTTACTAACCCAAAAGGAAAAAACGAGGAGAAAATGAGGGGAGGAGGGGCAATGACGCTTCTTCCTCTTCCTCCATATATGGAGTTTTTCTTTGGAACTCACAAAAGAAGAGAGCGTCTAGAGTTTTCTCTACTAATTTATGTGATGTATTGTTAATTTCATACTTTCTTTCAATAAAATAATTAATAAATCCGTTTACTTATGATTTGGTGTTAGAGAGTCTCATAATTTTTCACAACGTAGGTAATGACTTTTTATCGTTTGAAATATGAAATTATTAGTCTACAAATCAAAGCCATTTCCAAGTATAGCTTGTTCAAAATTCATACTTTCATGGAATGAAATTAACTCCCCTCTCCCGAGTACCCCATTTCTTCATCCACTCCGGGTCCCAGCTCTCCCTGGTCGGCACAGACACATGACAACTACTAATTATTTTACACAAAATATACAATTATTATTGTATTTGTATGATGTAATTTCCTTATAACAAATATCAAAATACCAAATTTGTCTATCAAAATTGTGCGTGGCTGAGAGTCGTCCACGTGTGCTTCTTTTACTGGTCAACACCCAGATTTTCCCTTTAGATAGAAGATAGCAAGCCTAATAACATCACCACTTGCATTAGGCCTCAGCCTACACAAACACCAGAGTCTTCTCTCTTACACAAGTCCACAGCATTTCCACAGCAACTAACCAAGCTGCGTGCCCCGACGTCGTTTTGAGGACATCCATGGGAATCCAAGCCGGTGGTTGGAGGGCAATGGCTGGCGGCCTAGTCGCGAAGCCGTGCGACTCGTGCAAGAACTCCGCCGCGGCGCTGTTCTGCCGAGCCGACTCGGCTTTCCTCTGCTTGACCTGCGACGCCAAGATCCACGCAGCCAACAAGCTGGCCACGCGCCACGAGCGCGTCTGGATGTGTGAGGTCTGCGAGCAGGCTCCGGCGTCAGTCACGTGCAAGGCCGACGCCGCAGCCCTCTGCGTCACGTGCGACACGGACATCCACTCCGCCAACCCCCTCGCCCGCCGCCACGACCGGGTCCCGGTCGAGCCGTTCTTCGACTCGGCCGAGTCTATCATCGTCAAGTCCGCCGCCGCCGCCTCCTCTGTCGACTCCCTCAATTTCCTACTCCCAAACGGCGCCGTTCCGTCTCACACTAAAGACGATGAAAACGACGCGGCGTCGACCTGGCTTATCCCGAACTTGAATTTCAACTCGAAGCTCCAGATGGATATTGCTCCGGATATCATCAAGTCCTCCGAGTTGTTCCTCCCCGAAATGGACTCGTTGCTGGAGTTCGATTACCCGAACCCGATCCACCACGATATTTCGGGTACGGACAGTGTTGTGCCTGTTCAACCCGACCCGTTACCGCCCCCTTCACTCAACATCAACCGCGTCTCTGCCGAGCAAAATTGCTTCGACCTCGATTTTTGCAGAAGCAAGCTTTCTTCTTCCTTCAGCTATCCAACTCAGTCGCTCAGCCAAAGCGTACGTATTTAAATTAAATTAAATATATCAACTTCCGAAATTTCGGAGATTTGTACTGATTTTTTGGGCTTTTTCTTTGTTGTTTCCAGGTTTCCTCGTCTTCCATGGAAGTTGGAGTTGTTCCTGATGGAAACTCCATGTCCGATATATCTTATCCTTTCGGCCGAAACGCGAGCCATACCGTTTCGGATCCCAGCGCACAGTTCTCGGCGACCACCGCAAACCAAGTGGCCACACAGCTCAGCGGACTCGATCGGGAGGCTAGGGTTTTGAGGTACAGAGAGAAGAGGAAGAACCGAAAGTTCCAGAAGACCATCCGGTACGCTTCGCGGAAAGCGTATGCCGAAACTCGCCCGAGAATCAAAGGCCGGTTCGCGAAACGCACCGAAACCGAAATCGAGGCCGTCGATAACATCTACGGCTCGGCTCAGGGGCCCTTTATTCCTGAGACATACGGCGTCGTTCCGACGTTCTGATAATGATCCTCTGCTCGATCGGCATAATTTAATTTCTACAGTCTAGCAGTGATTGGTTGGTGATGTCAATTGTAAATCAGTGTCTATCCGATAATTTTGATCGGTGGCTTATGAGCCGTTGAATTTGCATGAGCATGATGCTGCGCTTTTGCAACTGAATATTACCCGCTCAGCACCCAAAAGCCCGTTTACCTTTTCGTTATCTTTTAAATTTCACAGGGGCTTTTTAGAAGTCTCTTTTCATGCAAGTAAACCCTTCTTTCTTTTTCACCAAAAGAAAAGTTAAAATAAAATGAAAATAAAAAAGATCATGGATCTGTTTCTGAATTCTGATTGTTTGACAAGAGCAAGTAATGTGGTTATTGTTGACCCAAAAAAAAAAGTAATGCGGTTATTGTTTACGTGAATAATATATGCCCAACTAAATTTTTTTTGTTTTTTTCTATCAATTGTTATGGCAACGTAAGGATAATTACTATTCAATGATAAGGTATAGTGTGGTTGGCAAACTGTCATATCTAGTTGGCGAGCTACCTAGTGTCTCAATGGTAGGGGTTTAAAACCTGTTGGAAGCATTTTATGGTCAGGGGCAAGCTGAACCCCAAGTGGGGATTAATTCCACCATTCAGGTGTGGAGACACCTGATAGTATTTACCAAAAAAAAAAATACTATTCACATGAGATTAATTTTATTTATATGTATGAGATTAATAAATAAATAAATAAAATATGAATTTTTTGGTTTTTTTCTAATTTTGTTCTTGGCTGAGGTCAGCTCAGGCTAATCTTGCCTTCGAGCATGCCCAGTCTTAGCAGAGCCCACCTCCTGCCAAAGCTGGATTTTCTTGGAGGATGTGTTTTGCCAGCCTAGGGGACCTTTTGCCATGAGAAAAGGAACTGCTAGAACTACTCTTAAGTAGGCAGGGCTAGTCCTGAATTTTTCAAGGCTAGGGGCAAATGTAAAAAATTAGGCCCCTATATATATAATTTTTTTTTTCCACTTAAGTCCTAAACTCACTCTCATTTTTCAATCAAGATTTAACTTGTTTGAATTAACTAAAAATTTAACATTCAATGCAAATAAATTATATCAATTCAAATTTCAATATATAAAAATCTAAAATAAGAGGCTACGCTTGATACATTCAAATCTAATGCATAAACAAGATAAATATTTGTAACAATTTAATCATTTCTTTTTCTTTTTTGACTTCTAGATTGTTATTTTTTTAGAAATCATTTCTACTTGAAATTAGAAATAGTACAAGGAAATCCAATGAATTTTAATACTTCATATAATAAACAAAGAACAACATAATTCAGAATTTGAGAAATCCCCCTCCACAATAGCAAACTTAAAACTTCCAAATTTGCAATCAATTAGAGCTTAAAAGAATTGAAAGACCCCATGTTACTTTTTTTAAAATATAAAAATGATATATATATATATATATAAAGCGAAAGGCAGAGAATGGTGAAACATTCAAAATACCAAAAAATATCATTGGTTAATTCAAACATAAATAATTGAAATTATTAATTAAATGAGGATAATATGGTAAATTCACATTTTTTTCATATTAAAAAACTTAAAAATAAAAATAAAAGCAGATAATATGTCCTACTTTTATGGAACATAACTACTCATGTTATCTTTTCTTAATTCTAAAAATAAAAGAAAAAAGAAAAAAGAAAATCAATTGGCACATGCGTGAGCATGTGCCAAGGGTCTAGTATATAATAAATATAATATACCTCTTTATAAAAAAAAAAATTTGGGCCCCTTGGATAGTGGGCCCAGGTCAATCGTATTGCATGCCCCTGTCCAGACCGTCACTGTAAGTAGGAAAAATGGAAAGAAAAAAGGAAGAGTGGTAGAAGAAGAAAAAAATGAAGAAAAAAGGTGTAGGCGACTCACATGTGGAGTGGAGTAGAGGGAGTAGAGGGAGAATTTCACAAACTGAGAGATGAGAGAATCTTTAGGGGTTGAATTCAATTAGGATTTTGGAGAGTTTAAAAAGATTTTAAAAATTCAGGTGTATTCAATTTGGATTTATACGAACTTTAAAAGAGTTTCTACAAGTCTGGGTGTATTTAATTCAGACTTATATTAACTTTTAAAAAGTCCATACAAATATGGGTGTATTCAATTAGAATTATAAAAAAGTTATGTGCATTAAAAATTTTCATATATTTGGAAGGATTTCATTGAGCGATAAATTTTGGTCGGTTTTCAGGTGAGAGGCCCCCCCCAAAAAAGATTTCCTCAAATGCTCTCTGCATATGCCCTAGTTTTCTCTTTGTAAAAGATGAACAGTTTCCTCCATCTGTGAAGGTACGCTCCTTATGTTTTCTTTGATCAAAACCTCGTTGGGTTTTCTTTTTCCATGATTTTTCTTGTTATTAGGGTATAGTTTAGGGTTATAGGTTCTACTTGTTATTAGGGTTTAGCTTGGGGTTAGGATTTATGCTTGTTTTTCTTCTCAAATATCTATATACAACTTTATAAGAATTGTTTGCTGAATCACTGGATAGGAAACTGAAATATAGTAACTGACAGCTTTTCTATAATCGAACAAAAAAACTGAGACAAACTAAGACGATATAATTTTTCTTCTAAATTTGTTTGTGAACGTATGCAGTCGAATGCTATTAGTGATATTCATTGATGCAACACAAGCAAATAGGTTAACCTAGGAAAGAACATAAACCTGGAATCAACGAGAAAATTCTCACTGTTTGTATTATTTGATAAAAGATCTGTTGAGAACAACCATACACGAAGGCTGTCTAAATATATCAATCTCACCTATTGGAATACCTTGGGGAGTTATTAAAAATAAACAGTAAATAAACGAAAAGTAAAAAATTAACTACAATTTTTAAATGCTCTTTTGGAAGCCCAAACGACCTCAAAAGCCCAAAATCCACCTTATATCACGGCAAAGGTATCATGTGAACCGATCGGAGCTCGGACGCCAAATCTGTAAATTCCTGTTGGATCCTTTTTCCATTCTTCGCTCCAATTCTTCTTCAATCCATTAAGTCATTTGTTCTACATCATTCATGTGTGTATTCAATTGTGTGGGGGAAAAACTGAGACAAATATAAAGGTATCCAACAATGAATAGTTAAAGGATACATTAGAAAAAAACTTTGCAGTGGAATGCTATTGGATGCTACAACGTAAGCCAACATAAGATGTGTCTGTTGGGATCTATGGTTGCTGATGTACATTTTTTAGGTACATTAGTTGTATATTTTACTTTCCCTTCAACTAATTAAGGTATCCGATAGTGAATAGTTAACGGGTAAAATGTTAATTGAACAAATATAATTATCTTTCCAAAACTCAAAGCAAACTTTTTTCTTTGGGTAAGAAAAGGAAACTTGGCATTGTTTTGATAATTATCTTTCAACATTTGTAGTGTTTTATGGGTTATATGTATTTTTTTATGCTTTATTTGTGATTGATATGATAAAATTCATAGCTGCCTCACTCAAATGAAGTCTGAAAATACACAACAAGTAAATGGAAAAGGGAAGAGCAAACAAGATTATAACGCTTGGAGTGAGGAAGAGAGTAGAATGTCGTTGGAACTCATGGTTGATGCTGCATCTCTTGGATGGCGTGATACTAATGGAATGCTAAGCAAGGCAACTGTAGAAACCAAAATACTCCCCAAGATTAATGAAAAACTTTGGTGTCACAAAACCTATTCTCAATACCAGAGTCGGTTGAAATACTTTAAAAGAGAATACTAAAAATATTTACAACTTATTCGTCACAACTCTGGGTTTGGGTGGGATCCAACCACAAAGAAATTCACTGCTCCTGAAGAATTTTGGAAAGACTACTTAAAGGTTAGGTTATGAAATTTTCTTTAAATAATTATGTTTGGTAACTTGAATACATAATTCTATTCAATAATAATAATTTTATTATTTTTGTTATAGTCCCACCCAAAAGACACAAGTATTCAAACAAAAACTTGTAAGGACTATGCGGATATGCAAATTGTAATTGGGAATGCAAATGCTATTGAAGAAACTCATTAGGATTGGGTGATGATATTGATGCAAGAACTTTTACTAATGAATGGAGTGTAGATATGAAGAGAGTGTAGATCTGACGAATTTCCTGTTGAATTGGAGAACAAATCTTCTTCATCTTCATTGTTATCGGTTAATGATGGGGATCCTGAACTAGGTTTCCGAACACAAGAATAACAACGACAAAATGCTAATGAATAGAGAGTTGGTATAGCTTTGAATATGTGGAGAGATGTTGGGCACAATGACAACAATGAGAATCAAGGATAATGAATGAATGTTGAATGTTTTCCTTAAACTTTGCTTTCAAATTTGTTATACATTTGTCACTATATTTCTTGTGAATTTCTTATGAATTTTGCTTTTTGTTAATCATTCATCATTACTATGTTTGACCAAACTATCTGGTCAGAAATCACTAGGGAAGAGATTTTATGTATTTGAAGTCTTTAGTAACCACAAGAAAAAAATAAAATAAAAAAAAGATCCGAAGTTTCTTCTGAAATCAATAGCTATTGCACCACACTTTTTATACAGAGTGTCAAATGAGAGAGCAATAAAAAACAAATGTCCTAAAGAAATAGAGCACCACTTATTGCTCGACGGAAAGCAAACATCTCTTCTTGGCTTTTTGATTGTTTGGGTAAGGGTGCCAAAGTTAGCATTTAAGAAATTATGGAAATCTGGAATAAAAGAGCCATACAAATCTTATAATAAAATTATATAGAACTCTTCTCAAGTCTATGTGAAATCTAAAAGTTCGATAGAGTTCTATGAAATTTGGCACATCAAATTTGGGCCACCTTCTTTTGTTAGAAGAGCTGGGCTACCTAGATATTAAAAGATATCTTAAAATTTAAGTTGGGCTTGTGTCTACTAATAAATACATATCTACCTAAAATGTTATCAATCGTAATATCTAATTCTTAACACGAAATCTAAGAGAA